GAACCTACGTTATAGCGTCAATAGACAATCTCTAAATCATACTTTTTGCAAATGTTAATAAAGCGTCCCTCGAAAGAACAAATAAATCATATCAAAATGGGACCGCGAAACTCATAAATCTGCCTATTTATCGAATTCGAAAAACAGGTTCTGGTTTCTAGGACGGACGAAACTAAAAATCATGGAGATTCTACTTTAGCTATAAATCCTCCTTATCGCGTCTCTGGGAAGACACAGTGCGGCAAAAGAGCATAAACTGACCCAGCACACAAGGAAAAAGATCAACGCGCTTTTACAGAACAGTCTGGCCACTATCGAGTTTATTCCCTCGCCGCGATAGAATAGGAAATGCACGAGTTATGCGCTTTAATAAATTTCCCGAAGGCACTGCCTCACAAAAGCAGCTGGACAATAAAAATCCATTGACCAATTGTAAAACTCAACGAACTGTGAAACGTCGAGTAGAGCATAACTCCGCGCCTTTCGAAATCCCCTTCAGCTTACTATTTTCCGTTTCGTAATGCCCGATCGTTAGCGGATCCCGTTCCACGAGAATTTGTTTCTTCCTCGAAAATCAGTAAAAACAAAAACATTCTACTTTAGAAGGAATTTGCATGCGGGGATAAAATCCTAGATTTGAGTTAAGCTTGAGTATTATGTTGTATCCTAGAAGATGCTTTTGTATTCATCCTATATTTTGGCAATTAATAAAAAATAGAGAAAGTGCTCGCGCTTATTCGTGATGAAAAAAAGAAAGAATATAAAAGCGAAACGTTCTTATTTCAAGTATTTTCAGTATTCACGGAAGGAACGATCGCAGCGAAGAAGAAAGTACTGCTGCGTGTTGTAATCTAAAACCGTGGAAATGAAAGCGCTCTAGAGGGTGGGCCTTTATGATACGGCAGAGGAAGTTCTGCAGTCATCAAGCATGGTCGTCGTTTGTCGCTCGCGTAAGGAAAACGCGCACATGAACACATACCGTATACGAGAAAATCCATTTCCTTCGTTTCTTCGAATGCTCCAAATAAGAGTGATATTTCAATTCTTAATCGGTCGAAAGTATAAACTACATATTTGAACGATGAATATGTTCGATATACAGTATTCGAACTAAGGATATCTTTTGTTTCATCGACACACTGAAAAACCACTTGATAGTGTTTTATTTCTTAAGAAATATTTATCTCCTAATAGATAAAATAAAATCATGCAGAATTTCTTTTGAAGAATTTCATGAAGAAATGTTCAAATGCGTTGAAAAGCAGTTGTAACGTATGTCTTGAAACAACATCGTGCAACGAAGAATCTGAAAAAGTTTATAAATTATTAAAACAACCGTTTACGTAAAAAATATATAAGACCGAAGCGCAAAGTTTAAACCACACAGACAGCCTTCGTTTTATTAATCAGTAGAATCGTAGGTTCATTGCAACCATCTCGCCGCATGCTCTATTACTCAGGTAAAACAGTTTTGACGGAATTGTGTCTCATCCGTCTCTAAAGTTCTGGATCCCAGGTGAACAAGAAAGCTTCCCAGATAACAGTCTGCCCTCGGAGGGTATCGTCATAGGTTAAGGGTAGTCAAGCGAAACGCTGTTTTCTTTCTTCCTACGTGTAACTTCCGCCCAGACAAAACGCAGGTTCGTGTAGGTGGCGATGGAATGGAAGTAGCCTCCTGAAGATTGCAAAGGCAATTTCCCCCGACAATGTGGTCCACTTTATTCCACGCATAGTGCGTGCCCTTTCTCTTAGTATTCACGCGTAAGGGTTGAGCACGACGATGGGAATTCAGTCTCTTTTATTTTTTCGGATACGCCCTTCGTCCTGCAAAAGGGAACCCCTTGTACGATCAGGAAGGGTTGAAGCGACTAGAGGGTCGAATGGAATAAAAGAAAAAAAGTAACGCCTCTTGAAGTTCTAAACGAGTCAGGCTGTTCTAAGGGAGCATGTCGTTGTGGTTTTGATCCTTGTTTAACTTCTTAAAATTTCAAAAATATAAAATTCTTACAATTTTTAATGCTACAATGCTTCGTTTTAAGAATTGACATAATTTAATCGCGACATGTACATTTAACAGTGCCATCATCAATGTTAAATTATTAAAAAGATGTCAGAATATATACAATGAATATATGTATATATAAAGGTACCAACACTCGAAGTCTCTAAAGAAGCGGCAAAGACCTTACTATTTAACGTAATACTAAATTCCTAGCCCACGAGTAACAAGATCAGGAACTAGTCGGTACATATTTCTACCAATACGAAATCTGTCAATTCTCTGACAATTCTAACATCATTTTACTTCGAATATCCAAACTATTAATTATTGCCAAAGTACTGTACGCATCTTCCGTTTTCAACGCATATCGTTGCACCGCATGAATAGATATGCACGGGTTCAATGAACTTCCGTTCTGCTGGAAGTCCCGTGATCCCTATGAGAACAATAATTAACATTCAAAAAGGTAGAGGCTTAGGGAACGGATTAACGACCACTCTCGATGGAAAACTGGAACACCGTACGGAAAGGTCGCACACAGACAAACAGGCTTCTGTTCCAGAAACTCGATCAAGCTTTAAGGACCTTATTTGAAATTGATGCACGCGGTTGTAGTCGACCGAGCTATCCATTTGCCATCCAGCCGCGAGAATCTTCTTCTTTGGTTTCCTTAGTCAGGCTGCTATTTTGTCAGGCGTCGACTCGAAATAGATACTTGGCCTCGTTCGCACGATACGTCATGCCATGAAAATATAGGCGTGCAGTACTTGCAATTGGACGCGCGTAGCACATATTAGAATGTAGCCGTTAGAAATGTACGTCAGATACAAGAATTGTCTTTCTCGGCAGACAGAATCACGAGGAAGATATAAATGTGCATGAAGCTACACAGCACGAGAGACAATCGATGTACTTAATTGAAGGAGTGTCTTCTTTCTAGTGGTATGAAAATATAGTAAAACCAGGATTTTCCAAACACTTCTTATTCTAACGTTCGATTATCTGTATAATGACGAATAATAAAAGAACAAAAATATCCGAAGTATAAATACTTAACTATCCTAAATTCTCTGTCTCTCTATATTCCTCAATCAGACTATTGTTTTCAATTGATCATTAAATATGTAAGCAAAGAAGAGATTATTGAAAAAAAAATTAAAGGAAGATTTGACAGTAGTGAAAACAACAATTAATCAGTGATACTTCTGTAAACACTATTCAGTATAGTATAACGCATTTAGAAGTATTCATAACGAAAGAAGCAACTATTACATGTTACGAAGCACAAAACAAAAAGATTGTTTTGAGTTCAAGAGGTTGACTAGATTCTAGCCATTAATTTTAACAAAACTTTATAATTTGTTAGCTGAGAAAAATTGGAAGGACAGATTAAAAGATCAAAAAGCAACATTGGCCCATAAACTTTCTTTTCCTGTTTAAATATAAGACAATAAAGTATAAGGCTACAGATGAAAATCATAAAATATTATATTTTATATCTTTCATAAACGATTAATTTTAAAATTTAATGTTATTAATCAATTCCACATCAAAACTATGTTTCATTTGATTTTTGGACTAAATATGTATTTTTGTTAGCCTCTTGAAAAGATATTAATAACGTTAATTATACAGACTAATATTAATTAAATAAACTAACATAAAAGCTGAACTAATATCATTGGTGTTTCACAAAATATTATTGATTTGTCACCTATTTTCAAACTGTCACCTATCGTTACCCATATCTTGGAATTTATAAAGTTTTATTTACTTTTATTTAATTCGTTTCAACCAAGTGACATAAAAGTAACAAATCAACAAAAATAAACTTGTATCTTCCCGTGCGGTCTTCAACTGTAGCCTTCTGTTTTAATACTCATAACGCCATCTATGAGGCTCAAAGTGAACTATGCTAATTTATTTTTGTCCCTTAAAAACTACTGTAGGAAGTTGCTTGGAGATTATTATAGGAAACCACCCTTATCATCGACGAACGACAAGATAGTCATGTTTCGTCATTGATTAAATACGAGTAATCTACTTCGATTTTCGAACACTTATCCATACCTCGCATCCATAACTTTTACTGCACTTGTGAAGATCGATGTATTGTACTTGGTCGATGCTGGTAATTATCCAAGAAAACAAGCAAGTATTTGATCTTCAAAAGTTTTTGCTTTGCTTCAGAAGTGTCTAAATATTTGCGTTTTCTCTTCAGTCCACTTCACTTATCGGATAATCTGGATACTTTATATTTCTAATTATACGAACATCATTGTATCCCATCTGCCCTATACAAATCATTGTGTCAAGGATGTCTCTACGCTTCACTCATCTTTTTCTTCTCTCCCCACAAGAGTATCAATTACATTGTTACAGTAGAACACCGATCAATATCCCGTGGATAATATGTTCTGGATTATGTGATGTTTTTGAGTACTAGCAGTCGAACAGTGTCTGTCATCCAAATTTCTTAATTCCTAATTTTTATCTCCTTTACTCGTCATTAAAGTTTTTGTCTATAATTGATAGAATGTTATTTTAATACGCAATCTGATTCTTTTTCATAAAGTCCAGTTAAATATTTAACTTATAAGCTTTGAATTCTAGCCATCTGACTTGATATAAATTATTGACGTGAAATTTAAAGTCAAAACTAGAACATTCTGTATTTTTTCGTATTTACGAATTTGAATGCTTAATAAAGCTAAAAATAAAAGGGGCGGGGGAAGGCGTAAAGATTAAAAGTAAAGTCGTTTAATGAAAAATTTCGAGAACCTTGTTTGTAAGGAGATACAGAAAGTTAAGGTTGAAAGTCACTGAATGCTGTAACATTGGTCCAACAAGATAGCATCGTGTGTTCAACTATGCGTTTAATTCGAAATCGAGCTTCAGCAGGCGCAAGTTGCGAAAATTTGGGGTGGCCATAGTAGCATGTAATGGAGAGCCATATATAAAGAGGATTTTATTAAGCGACCACAGTTGAAGTTTCGACATGAAATCGGTTAGAAAACCAAAAGACTTTAGCATCGAGAGTATTCTAGCCGATAAATTCAGATTTCTTCGAAATGACCAATATATAAACTTGTCTCAATTTAGTGTAACAAAAACTCATGAACTTGATTTACAGAAAGAAAAATTTGAAAAAAATGTTGGAACAGCCGTTGAAATTAGTATAGAAGAAGATGTCGCGGTAAATACAAAAAATAATTTTGCATCCATTAAAGAAAATCCTGCACCGAATCCTGCGCAGAATTTACCGACCAACTTCGGAATTGACACAAGAGATACGTATCAAATAAATAATGTGTTTAAAAATAACGAATTTAGTGATGCGGAAGATTATGGTGTGTATTTTCAACGAAAAAGTGAAGTTAACGTAAAAAAAAACGACGAAGTGAATTTCAAAATAATCAATTTCAAGCAATATAAGGATGAGGAACATTGTATAAGTTTACTAAATACTGAAGAAAATAATATCGTTAACCAGTTTTATAAAATTTCAAAGTTTGACATAATTGAAAAATGTACCACTGATATGAAAAAGTCCTGTTTAATTGCTGATGAAAAAGAACATATGGCAGTCTATCAACATTTTTCAAAACCCTTTGAACAAGAGGAATTTAATTCAAATGAAATAAGCGGCTCAAAAGTAATAACGCACACTGGAAAAGGTCACGTAACAAATTATGAATACGTTAAACCTGAGAAGGGTGATGAGTGTTACGAAGAAATAAATGAACGTTATGGTAATGTTAATATAAATGAACAACAAAATAACATAATAAATTTGAAAGTAGTCCAAAGATGTTATCGCAACAAATTTCAAGAAGAATTATTGAAACAAGATCACGAAGAAAAATTTGGCAACAAACAAATTAAATGCATAAATTATGACTCTTTAGAAAATAAAAATAAAGATTCAAAAATCAATTTCTCAAAAAAGTTGACAAAGATAGAAAATAGATCTCCGTCGCTTAATAATATGAGAGAAAAGCTTATTAATCTTTTAAATAACAAAACAGATTATGTAGAAGTAATGAAAAATGCAACAGAGTTAGAATGGCTTCGATGTACAAGGTATAAACCTCCAAAAATTCCTAGAAAACGTGCGATTGGAAAAAATAGACGAAAGCCTAGTCTTCATCCTCGGATACCATTTTCAACTTTTCAACTGGATTTTCTCGAGCAGCAATTTCAGATCAATGCTTATCTTTCAAAAGACAACGTATTGGAGATATCAAATGTTTTAAATCTTCCTCCTAACCGGGTACTTTCAAAGTTTTATACATTTATCACTAACGATTTTAATACGATTGAAACTATACGTTATAATTCTTTGTTCAAGAAAAAGTTAAGAACTTTTATTTTTGTTTCTTCTTTGTCTAAACTAAAATTTTCTGATTGTGAGCGACGATACTTAAAACTTAATTTTTTACAATAATCGGAAGATGTTAAAAGAAATAATACCTACATTTATCGGAAATGGTATTTACGTATTCATACATATATTATTGTCATAATACTAATTTGTTTCAGATAAAGATTTGGTTTCAAAATCGACGTGCCAGGGAGCGACGTGAATTTTGTATTAAAATATAATAATACAATAAAAAATAAGCCTATTACACAATTTATACGAATAACGAGTATTTATTTTCAAATATAATATAGTTATCTTCTTCAAAATAATATTCTCGTACAATTATTATATTTTAACAACATTTAATATTCTTTGAATATCACTAGATTATAAAACCTTATATAAATTTAAATTAATTCATTATGCGACAGCTGTGTCGCGTCCTGAAGCGGCCAATAGCCAATACTAAACATACACATTAGTCACAGCCGCACAATTATAGACAGAATTCACTGTAACAGTACCGACAACTTTTTGTGAAGATATATATATTTTGGAAATTAAGGTGGAGCGGCGGTTACATGTATAGAAAAAGGTTATTCAGAATCATGCCCCCGGCAACATATTCAAAAATCACCAAAATTGGTAAGATGGATGAGATATTGGTAATATCATAAATTATATAAGATTGTAATATATTATTAAATAAAAATATACGTCAACTAAATACTAATATAGCGTTAATAGTAGCGTATGAACGAATGATTACGGAAGTATTACAGAGATTAGCACTTGTCGCAAAGTAACACGGATACACCTAATCGTTTCAACTTCCGGCCATAGAATAATAGCCCGCGCCGCGGTTTGACTTGCGATTTTGGATGGCAAGAGAGCGGAGGGATCCTTCTGTAAATCGAGTGTGCATGAATAAAGATCTGATTATTAAGGCTTAGGAAACAACAAAACAAGTGATGGCTGAGCGACAGAAAATAAATCCCATAGGTTTGATTTATTTTAATTATTAGTCAAACATATTATAAGTCAAATCTATAGATTTATTTCCGATCGCTCAGCCGTCACTTGTCTTATCGCTCTACCGTTTATCAGTTACCGTTTATCACTCTCCTCTATAATCGTGGCCTTCGTGCACGCTCGACTTGCAAGAGGATCCCCCGCCCTCTCGCCGTCAAAAATCCGCGTGACAAGCCGTAACGCTTATCGCTTACCGCTTAACGTTCATCACTCTATTATGTAAACAAAGTAAATATATACGTAAGCGTGAGCTAATGTAATTTATCTGTAATGTAAATATCTGGCGTTTAAAAATTTAATATACGTGTTATATTTAATTCGATCAAATAAAATTACTTAATAGGTAGAAAATAGAAAAATAATAATTTTTAGTTCCAGATAAAATAATATCTTGGATCAGAAAATTATAGTAACACGTACTTTACTTGTAACTATATAACAGAAACAGAATGCATTAGTATGCAGTACGTTCACTAACATAACTGTTGAACCTTCTATTATACTAGCATCGATAAAGTCGCATGCGACGTGAAAATGGTAAAGTTGCAAAATTTGAGACCCGAAAAAACATTAAATATCAAGTCTATTCGGTACTAACTGGTATATATGTACTTACGATTAGCCAATATTTTTACTTTACCGATTAAAATATGTTTGATCTAAAAAATAATGTTATGCCTGATGTCAATCACCCTAATTAATAACAAAATTATTAATAAATCGTTAAACGTGTTATTCATTTAATTGTAAAGTTATATTTTTAATGATGAAAATCTTCATAGAATTAATATTTGTGTTATTCTATAATTTTTATCTTACTTCAGATTATTTAATTTTTATAATCTTTATTTTTCCCTCTAGATGTCGTTCCATTCGGCAAATATAAGTCAGTCAAACTCTTCTATCACTAGTAGACTACCAGTCTATGTTTCAGCAGTCGCGCGACGGTTTTCGAGGTGTGTGCGTGCGCGCGTAATTTGTTCAGTTGCTCGGGAAGTTACGAATATAGTACCCGAAAATGCAGCGTTCCGTTCAACAAGCAAATGGAGATGGTGTTCTTGCATCACCGAGGAAAAAGCAACGTGTGTCGAATACTAACACAGCCAAAGTTACTGTTGTTCTTGGAGCACAATGGGGCGACGAAGGTAAAGGCAAGGTCGTCGATATGCTTGCTATGGATGCTGACGTCGTCTGCAGGTGTCAGGTGAGTCCGCCATTTTTTCATTCTCGTCCGCCTTTTTTCCGGCATAAAGTTCTATACGTTTAAATTTGATCCAAAATGTACTTTCTATTAGAAGATTTAGTATCGTAGACTACTATATCCATCGTTTAAAAGACACACAATAGGTTATATGTTTCCCTTTTTATCGTTTTATTTTCAACAGTGACGAAAATTTTCCCTCCTCTGTCTCTTTCTCTCCACTGTTTTCATATATGTCACATGATTATTAGTGATTCTTTCTCTATATTGATATCCCTCCTCTTACGAAGGTAAATAAATATTGTATACTTCTGTAAGCTAATTTAAGCATTGAAAAGAGTATAATTTATGATAACGAAACTTTGAAATTATAATACATATTTAGTAAATATCATATAGTACTCATATATCATATAGTACTCATTTTTATGACAAGTTCTATATTTACCAAAATCCTCTACTGCATTTTTTATTATCATGATAGTAAAAAAATGAAAGCTTCTGCATTAGCATTTTTTCAAATTTATTTACTTATTTACTTATCTTGGCAGTAATTTACTTATCTTATTCAGATATCCATTTCATATAAAATATTTCATAATTTTCTTTCTTATTATTGTTTTATTTATATATTTCATATTCTATGTTTCGTACCTTATATTTAGATATTATCCTTCTTAAATTCATATAGATAAACGCAAGTATGTAAATAACTTACACATAGCATCTGTCATATCTAAATGTTTTTATAACCCATCTTGACACAATATCTTTATAGAAGTAAAATAGTACTTAGTCATTTGTAATTGATGCAGAATTTTCACATATTCTAGTTTATGAAGCATTAATTACATTTGACACATAAATGTGTATGCATGTAATAATTGACATGTGTCCATTTACATGTTTGTGTATTAATTAAAATGATTCGCTTACTTTATTAGATCAAATTTTAATATCGCATATATAAGTATATTTCTCTGTAATAATCATGTAGTCATGAAGTTATAATTTTAATGATGATGTTATAATTTTTACATAATTGACTATCATTAATAACTTTATATGTATAATAAATTAAAAGTCAATTTATATATTAGCTTCTTTTTTATATTGGTTTATTAAGATCTTTTTTAATGAGATGACCTTAATATATCTCTATAAATGATATAATATGACATAATTTTTAAACAATCATACTACAGTTAAGATCTGGTGCAAACCTGCATAAATATTAAAATTTATATGTATCAAATAAAAGAATGATTTTTAATAAACCTAATATTCTTTTTTATTCCTTTTGTTTAAAGTCATATCAACCACTTATGTGAGTTACATGGGTTATTAACGCAAGAAGCAAGGTTCACAGTTCGTTACATAATATTCTATCCACTTTGAATGTCGTTATAAACATAAATTGGCTTAAAATGAAGCTTTATTTAGACTACTATGAATTGCCACAACTATTAAATTTTTTAAGCACTTACACGTACAATACTCATTAATCGCTTTTAGATACTTCACATATCATTCATCGGTATACAATATACTGCAATTGATATGATGTAATATAAACATTTTTTAAAAAATATGTATGTACATTCCTATTACTATAAGCAGATACTTATCACAATTATAGATAAATATAGATAAGATATTACTGATATTATTACTAGTATTATTATCTATTATTATTATCGCTGCAAGATGTTTCCAATATACTTGTTCGTTATTATATTCTGTGTTTGTTCATGTAGATGCATTTTATGTTGAAATCTTTTAGGTATTTGGACAGTAGATGAATAATTGATTTAATCAGATTTTCGCACAAAATAATTGGTGGAGATTTGGTGGTAGCTGAGTTTTCCGAATTACAGTTTTGTTCCGAAGTGGGCAGTTTTTGAGATTCTGTTGTCTATATGGGGTACCGTGGTTTTATGTCGATACCTCCAAGGTGGTACTTGGTAATATTTTTAGGGGTTAGTGGGGGTCGCCGTTGGTTGCGCATGTATTTGATTGAAGATTTGTGGCCAGCTTTCATGGCAGAGCTCGGTCGGTTCCTCTTGGGGAGATGCGTGATACTTGTCCACATTCGTTTTTCGTCCTCTTACGAATTAGTTTAGTCAGCGCACGTGGTATCCATGTGTACAGGCCATGCTGGGGGTGCGGAGTGAGCTGGCCTGTATCTTTGTTTCTTTCTTCTAACTATACCAGCAATTTTTTGTTTAATGTCAATTTTTGTGTTACATATTAACTTTTCAAAACAAAATATTTTGTCGTAATATCTTATAACTTTAATAAAAGATAAAACTGTTTTGAGTCCTTCTATCCATAATATTGTAACTGAATTACATTCTGTCAAGAAAAATAACTATCTACATTCTTCATTTACAGTATTCTATATACTTCTAAACGGTAGTGTACAAAGTTTCTGCCGCTCATTATATATCTTATCGTTCTTTGTTCATTTCATGAAATATGTAAATGTAACATGGTACGAACTTCTCGGATCACCTAATAGGTAGTTTAAACATAATTACCCGAATGTTCTACCGATTATATGATGTCGTTGTACTTCATCTACTGCATAATGAGTTAAAACACGAGAGAATGCGACAAAATCAAATATACGTCTATTATTACGATCATTAAAGATATACCTAACCCCACATAAATATAATGAGCGATATTCTTAAAATCAGAAAATAGAGAAAATTATCATGAAGTAAAAGAAACGATATAAAATGGGTATTATAAAATTAATTTTGTATCTTTCTGCAACGGTACATTATTCTTATTTCATATCCTCGGTAGGTTTCCTTCTAGAAGGATTTCGTAAATAGAAGTTGATTAACGAGTATTAATTTTATTCAACAAGCACTTACTGCACACGATCATTACTGCTTAACTATTTTTTTTCTTTTTTGTTTTTTATCCATCTTACTATGTATTAGTAAGCATATCATTATACCTGTTTACAGGTAATACATAACTACATTGAGTATCAAGGTCCAATTCAACCTACACCCGTTCTCCTTTTGAGTATGGATTTGTTAAAGATACAGAATGCATTAAGTTCACCAATTAGGGCTCGAGATGACAGAATCATCAATTCCTTCTTTCTATTTCCATACCGGTTAATTGTGCTACTGCTTTCTGTTTCATATATCCCGACAAGGTATGGAAGCAGATGTGAATTTGACTTCTGTGGCGTTGCATCTCATATTAGCATCTTCCAGTTCTTGATAGTAATTAGTCTTTTTCTTGTAGGCTTTTGTAAGGTTTATTCACTAGCTGCATACTTGCTCGTCTATAACCAACGCAGTTCTTCTTAGCTTTGCCATCAAGTTCTGTTTTCAGAATCCTTTCGGTAACAGAAAATATTGCAATAGCTTTGTGCTTGGCCACTCTTGTGTAAATATCTAGTATATAGTATCTAGTGTATCTAGAATATGGTTCAGCGTTTCGATTTCGTTGCAACCGCCTCTGTATAGGCGATTAGGTACATTTTCTACCGCTGCTTGTCCGAGATTTAATGGCTAGTACATTTGTGCAGAACTTCGTTACATTTAGTTCTTACATAAGTTCTTCCCTAGTAGGAAGCGATTGCTATCTGTGATTTGCTGGTGCTTATGAATATCAAATGTAGTAAAATCAACTTTTCTACCATAATTATGACTTAATTTGCACAAGTTATCATAAATCGTGTTTGACATTGATGTTTCGCATTGTTCATAAATATAATACTTGTTTTATTCTGAAGGTAGCTCTTTTTCTTGTATCCTTATTTCTTTGCTTTATTTGAAATTATCAAATGTTTCAAATTGCTTGAAGTCAAGTGAATTAGTAAGAATAAAGGTAGTTTGAAAGAATATTTTAAATTAAGTAAATATGTATCTAATAGTAATAATAGTAAAAGGAATCACGAAATTTCAAGTTGCTTGAATTAATCTGAATAGGACTTTAGAATACGACTTTGGTATTTTTTAGGTTTAATATCTCGTTCAACTTTGTATTTAGATACTATAATTGTATCATAATTCCATGCATTAGAATTAAAGCAATACAATTTCTCATAAATTCTGAGATAATATTTACTTGTTTAAACTTTTGTTATAATTGATCTATTATAGTATTTCAACGCCAACAAAATTGTAATTGATGTACACAAAATGATAATAGCTAAAAAGTAGTCGAGAGTTTACATCCGTAACTTTTTACTAGTGAAATTAAAATTTGTATTTAAATAAACTTAAAAGGCGACCATGAATTTGCTATCAAAAAATATTTTCGAAATATTTGTTATCGTTATGTGTTATTCGCTCAATATAAATGAATTTTCTTTAATATCTCTCTTTATTACGTTGTTGTAAACGATCAAAAAATCGTGTCGAAAATTAAAATGAACTGTACGGAAAACATGACATTAATTTTTCAGATAATATCGGTAATCCAAACATATAAAGCTCTACCCTAAACTATTCAAATTATTCTTCTTACATCTTGTACCTAGAATCTGAAAATTTCGTTTCGTATGTAGTTTCAATCCGTATTATATAATATGTTGTAAGTTTTAACGTATCTTTTCTTTTTACGAGTACATAATTTTATATAGTAACAGTAATATCTTTTAATTAATTTTTTCTATCACAACTGATGTTCGTTATATATTTTTCCTCTAATAATTTCACTAAAGACCATTAATTTCTTAACATTATAATTGGTCCTATGTATGCTTAAATATTTCTTGTATACGCCTTTGCTCTAACGCCAAGCTGAAAACATGCGTTATAACAAAGTCTAAAATTAAAATCGATAATATCGAGAACGAAAAGCTCCGTTATCAGGAAAAAAATTAAAAGGTAATACACGTATCTGAAAATTTGAATTCTCGTCACTAGTTTCTAATGTGCTAACATTAGTAAATAATGCTAATTTCGTGCCTCATTAGATATTGCTTATTGACATCACATGTTCAATATTTCTTCTATTTTTCATTTAACATGTTAATCATTCCTCATTCGAGGAATCATAAAATAACTGTAATCTGACACTCTATCCTGCACTCTTTAAATTGTGTTATCTACAAAATGATATTTCATTAATTCACTGCCAGCAACATTAGTAAACCGTATGAAAAATATTTTAGGATGTAAATTAAATTGTTCGTTTTGTAATTATTATTTAGATGTTTCATTGAAAGTCATAATAATTTTGATGTTTGAGTAAGATGAACAACATCTGTTCTGATCTGTCACTGGAAGTGTTTAAAAAGTATGGAATAAAGATGAAGGAAAAAGATATTTACATTGGAGCAAAAGGAGAATTTTAATTTTGCAGGGAGGAAGCAATGCCGGGCATACAGTAGTAGTAGACGGTGCGGAGTTCCACTTCCATCTTCTACCCAGTGGAATAATCAATCCTAGATGCACTTCGCTTATAGGTAATTATTTTTCGATTATGATGGCCCGTAATAGAATATCGATGATCTCATATTACGCTAGCTAAACATCCAAAAAACAGAGAAAAAATTAAGTATCTACGTAACTGTTTTGGGTATAGAATGTAACAATATACATGTTACATAAGCTGGTGGCGATACGGACAATAAGGACTTATCATCTTTAGGTCGTGTCGGGGCCATTTCACTAAAAACTGTACTTACTAACTACATAATACGGGAAATAGAAACACATAAATACAGTGGAACTAGTTTATATAATACATATTATGTTACGTATAACAAATTGTTAAATATTAAAAAAATGAAGATACCGACTACAAAATATGTTATAAAAATACTCGGTGACACATCTTCGTTGAAAGTTTTTTTATAGTTCTTTGGCATTAGCTATTTGTGACATAATTTTAACCGACAGTTATAATGGAAGTAGATATATATATATATATATATATATATATATATATATATATATATATATACAATTATAATAACAACAACTGTAATACAATCGTATATTGTGGAAATTAGTCATATTTAATGTATTGTGTACGAATCTATCTATTCTGATCGCAATATAAATTGCAACTAAAACTACATCTTTGGTTCTCAAGACAAAAATTTAACGCAACGTTGCGTCATAATAGAAGCAGTTTTCGTCTTGATGTAAATTTCCTTACGTCATCCAACATGAAAATGTTAGAGTTGTATTCTCCTGTAATACTCTTTTTTAAGCTATGTTTTGATTCTGGAAAGAATCTATACAACATTTTCATTGATATCTTGTGCATGAATTTATTCGTGTTTCAGCAATATACACAAATGTTATAAAGAAGAATTAGCATAATTGTCGTGGTAATGATTTCAGTCATTTTGTTCATACGAAGCAAGAGACCCAAAAAGCTATTAATTAAGATAAGCTTAACTGTTCGTGTATTGAAACATGTCTTTACATTTATAGAAAAATAAACCGCCACCATCTGCGGAAATTAAGTTGACTATCAATTTAATAAGGAAAATACAGATGTAGATGTGCTTTCAAAAGGAAGTTTGGTATCCATAATTTCGAATTGCGTTTTCAAATCGTACTTAATATTATTTTGTTGACAACATTGTTATCTATATTTAAGCAAATGAGCAACAACGCATCTTGAAATAACAGTTTGTTATTTCATATGTTGTCTGGTATTTGATAGAGATGGTCTCATAAATGTTCGATGGGATTTAAATCTGGGCTCTGTGGTAGATACAGTAATCCAATGTTGTTTAGTTTAAAAAATTTCATATATAATTTTTAGATATAATTTATATATGAAATTTTTAATCTCTTTCTATCTTTAACTAAAGTCCAAATATAACCCATTCCAATTTCGTTACTTACTCTATATAATAGTGTTCGCTACACTATCCGCAAAATACCTTGGAAACGGATACGACGGTTACATTACACTATACCAGGTGAGGCACATGAAATGTAAGAAACCGTTGCAGATACCAGTTTGTTACTTCTTTCAAAAGTTGCTATTAATTTTATTATGATAAATGTATATTCCTTCTCTATAATGTGTTTTATGATACTTCCTCAACTCTTCTCAATATCCATTAAGAATCCAGCATAAAAAAAAGTTATAGATTTATCTCTAAAAAAAAAAAATTGAGGATAACCTTGGAAACCTGAAAAAAGAGGAAACTGATAAAAAATGTACTACCTGTACTTCAAATTATATTATGCGACACAAACTAATTTGCAATTGATTTATTAGTGTAAAATAGTAATATAATTTAAGTTGATCGTGTAATGCGATTTATTCCCGCCTTCTATAGATTTTATAATACTAATATGAGTCTAAAAGAGAAAATTGATCACCGTGATCATATTTCTGCTGATACTGTATTACAATAATTATAATACTATCCTGTCATGAATTTTGTTTCAGGAAACGGAGTAGTAATACACCTACCGGGTCTTTTTGAGGAATTAGAAAGCAATGAAGCGAAAGGTTTAAAAAATTGGCAGGAGCGATTGATAATCTCTGATCGTGCGCATATAGTATTTGATTTTCATCAGCAAGTCGATGGCCTCCAAGAATTAGAAAAAGGTACGCAGTCCCTGGGTACTACTAAAAAAGGAATTGGTCCAACGTATTCAAGCAAAGCTGCTAGAAATGGACTTAGAATCGGTGATCTTCTCGGCGACTTCGACAAATTCTCACAAAAGTTTGATGCGCTGATTACCTCGTATCAAAAAATGTTTCCAGCACTTCAGGTCGACGTGAAAGCAGAGCTTCAGCGGTATAAAGAGTACGTATTTTTATTTATTTTTCACTTAAATCTGAATATGATTCAGATATTAGCACTAAACAAGTATGAGGAGAGTTTGTTGAAAATAATATTGAATCGTGAATAATTATTATATATTAATAAAATAATACTATTCATGTATTATCATGTACTATGTATCGACTAAAATATCCGGATTCTTATAAGCAATAGTGTACTTAGTAAAAAACAATTTCTTTATTCTATTTCCTTTATCCTATTTTTCAGCTATGCAGAAAGAATAAGACCACTAGTGAAAGAAACAGTTCAGTATTTACATCAAGCATTACGCGAAGGAAAAAAAGTATTAGTAGAAGGTGCAAATGCTGCAATGTTAGACATAGACTTTGGTACATATCCCTATGTTACGAGTTCTAACTGCAGTATAGGTGGTGTTTGTACCGGTCTTGGATTATCGCCGTCTTATATCGGAGAAGTTGTCGGTGTTGTTAAAGCGTATACCACAAGAGTTGGTGATGGTCCATTTCCTACTGAACTTTTGAATGCTACAGGCGAACTTTTACAAAAAAGAGGACACGAATTTGGTGTTACGACAAATAGGAAGAGGCGTTGTGGTTGGCTAGATTTAACTCTTCTTAAATTCACCGCCTTGGTTAATGGGTAAGAAATACTTTTATAATAAATATGATAAATGGACTTTTAGGCAAATTCATATTTTTATGAATGTAAAATTAGATAAAGAGGAATCTACGTAGAGAATTATGCATTTACAAAATATTATAACGAGTACTATACTTTGGATATTTATATATTTTTGTATATTACATGCACTTTTTTACTTTCAAATTTTTTACCTTCATCAATAATTTAAATTATATATAATTTAATTTAAATTATTTTGCAGATATACGTCAATATGTCTTACGAAATTAGATATTCTAGATACACTTCCAAAAATTCAAGTCGGCATAGGTTATCGATTAAATGGAAAAGAAATTGACTATTTTCCAAGTAGCACCTCTGATTTAGCAAAAGTAGAAGTAATTTACGAGACTCTCGATGGTTGGGAATCAGAGACAGAGGGTGTACGTTCCTTGGAAAAGCTACCTCCTAATGCAAAAAAATATATACAATTAATAGAAGAACATCTTGGCGTGCCAGGTAATATTTTAATATGTGAAACTATTATGTAATCTCATGATCAGTTTTGTGACTTTTTGGGCTTTGCGTACAGTATCGCCGATTAAAACTAAAGAGCATATTAATAATCTTTTCCAGTAAAAAATTGGTAAAATATTAATTTTTTCAACTCTATGTTCTATTTTACCTATTCAATGTTATAATTAGATTGCGAATGTCCATCTATGCATTTATTTTGAAAACTGATCAACTTTTTGAGTATCGTTATATAGAACGAAGATCCGATTCTGACTTGAATAATAAAAATTTCTTGTTATATAAAAAACATTTTTTTGTTTTCAATTCCTCTCATATTTAGTTAAAAATGCAAAGTCTTGAACTTAGACGTATTACAAGTACAAAAAATTAAATATTATTAATAACATTAAATTCAGAAATTATTATTGTTTCAGTTAAATGGATTGGAGTGGGAGCAGGCCGAGAAAGTGTAATTACACTTTGACGTTACACATATTGGTTACAACCATGGAAATATATTTATTTGTGTAGGATCAGTGGATTGGGCGAATGAACGTGTGAAGTCTTTATTAAATAAAATGGATATACTTAACATTTCTTTACAATCACGACGCTTAACACAACGCAAAGACTTTAATACAACACATTGACGACATGAATTTTTCGACAATGCATGAGCGATTCTCTCGCTTTGTAATCGGACCACATTCATAGTGACATCATACATACAACACACATTTTCATCACGTATAGCCTTTACGTGATCCCATACATGTCTCGTGTACATTTTAGGAATTACTCTGTACTTGCGATCGACACTCTGGTCTAATGCAGTATCTTCATTCAATATCTTTCACTTGGCCTTCAATTACCCATCATCCACTCCATTCTCAGATACAATCGAATCCCACCTATATATGTCGTACCCTATATTTAACCATTTTGCCTTACCCTTAGGTTAAACATTTTTACTTGCATTATGATTCTCATACTTAATGTATGGTTTCGTATGATCCTCTATCGTCAAAACATTGAGAACTTGATTTCCTATCTTACATATAATAAGTTTATTGTTTCGTAATTCGTTGGTTAGTACATACGTATCTAAAAATTTCGGACCAGATTTTTGTCCCAATGCCAATTGTGTTCTTTGTGTTGCACCTAAGACATCGAATTTATATGGCTTATGTTTTTTCCCCTTTATATTCTAAATTTTCTTATTTTATTCGTATATCTCTAGAATTATTTCCTCGGGTGTTTCCAATTCATCACGACTTTCTTGATATATATTATCTTAATCTTCTACAATCAGATCTTGTAACAATGTATCTTACATCAAACATTTTGCGAATAGCGTGACTTCTGGTATATTTAGTTGGCGTAAAATTGAATCTTTGTGCCAAACTTAGATATTTATACCACTGTTCAGGATTATTAATGTAATAAGTAAGAGTATTACCATTTTGTGTACTTACGCTATGCGGCCGTTACTTTGAAGCACTCCCGTAGCTATTGTTAAAAAATTTATCAAAAAGCATCAGAGATGAAAGCAGTAATCCTATCGGGTTTAATTCGCGCGCTTTAAATAAATTATAACCGAATTAGTTGATTGAGTTAGAACCAGACAAAAATGAACGTGTCAGTCGTGGACGAAAAATATCGGTACTTTCTCTTTGTTAAAGGCAAACCACCCTCCTCTACATATTTTAAAAACTTAATACGTTTCAGTAAGAAACAATATCTTTGGATCAATTAATTACTATATCATGCTGCAATATCTAATACTGTTTCTTTTCACGGAATCTATTTTTTGACATATATTGTATTCTATATTTACACAATCACCCTCATGTTCTACTGCATCTTCAATGGACTAACTAATTAGTCCCTAATGAGTCCTTAATTTTTTTAAATCAATGAATTGAAACGTGTCCTTAATTTTTTTATCGGAAATAAGTCCTTAATTTTTTTAAATCAATGAATTGAAACGTGTGAAGTCCTCACACGTATATCTTTAATATCTTTACGAATATCTTTAGTACTCTTTATAATCAAGGCGCAGCTTAACATAACGCAACGACTTCAATGTAACAGTAACAGAATAATTCTCTCGCTTCCTAATTCATATTTTTGAAGACATTACACATTCTTACCATGTCAGCCAAATCTCTACTTACGTAGTTACGTGCATTCTAGGAATCTTCACTCGCAATCGATATTCTAAATTGAATATTCGACATCTTCCATTCTGTCCACAATCATTCATCATTCTCTCTACACCCACAGGTCATATCAAAATCCATTCGCAGCTATCACATCCTACACTTGTCCATCCGGTTTGTTACTTTTAACTATAAATTTAATTTGTCGAAGGAGTTGATGAAACAAGCGCACAGAGAATAAACAACAAAGAAATTTATAGCATTAAGCTTTTGAATTTTAGTAGTACATAACGTTGATAGAAGAGAACAGAAATGTCATTTTTTCGAGTTCCTTCTTATTGGATAATTCGTGTTAATTCATGGTATCCATTGTTTGAATGTAAAATAAAAAATGTTAATAAAAATGTATTTATTTGAAAATTACTTGAGTTTAATATCTGATTTTCTTAGATGTTGCTTTTATCCATTAACATTCACTATACTCAAAGTGTAAGTATTGAATCCCAACTACTAATCTTTTTCATTTGTGGACCTCTAATTATATAACTTTTTACTTTATAATGAATATGACAAAAAGAAAGATTCGTCAACTAATTCAAGAACCTAATGTTTGGTTGAGTAAAAATGAATAATAAAGTACTTAGATAGGTAGTACTATTATATAACTATAATAAAGGAGTACTCCGATGCTCTAATCTTTCTACATATGGTTCTACATAGTGAAATTTTTAGCTATGTTGTTTTTCTTTATTTTTTCTCATAACCTGACTGATTGAGACCATAGAAAATCTTACCTTCCAATTGATCTATAGTTAAAGATATCTTCTAAATCTCTCAGTCTCTCATGTTCTTTTTATGCTAACTTCTTCTAGAGTCTATTTTTGCTCAATCAAGCAATACATTACGTCTGTGTCGTTCGCTAATTAACGTCTTATCTCTACACATTTGAATTTAATATGTATGAAATATATATTATGTTATAGATATTTTATTATTGCTTTTTGCCGATTTGAAATAAGAAATTCATAGATTCTGTTTTTATATTTTATACGTAAATGTTTACACTTTTTATTTATAGTTGCCAAAATTTTAACATTGATCATCGCATTCAACGATATAAGGAGGAGAACACTCGCTGTGTTTGATTCCAAAAGAAAACATGGGCTGTGGTTTAGGAGGTTTCAGATTGTATTTCGGACCCGGAGAACGGCAAATTATTTTTTCGTCTCTTCTGAAAGTTACGCTATACATTGGAGATCTTTGGGCAACCAATGCATCATTGTAAAGTTTGGGACCTGGTGTAGGATCACGTCTTAAAGCAGGTAAACGTTCTCCTCTAAAAATCATGTAACAAACATTTAATATAATTTAATTTTGATAAGATAAAAGTTAATTAGAACTATTTTTTTAAATACGTAAACTTCCGATAATTGTCAGAAATTTGGAACCAAAGTATTGCAATTATAGAATGTTAAAAACGATTCTATTTTTCAAAACTGAAATGTTAGATGAACTGAATGTAGAAAAAGACAACACGGCTGAAAGAAAAAGAGGGGTCGAGAGTAGAAGCATTCAGAAAACATTGAAGGCTTGCAATAATCTGAGATCTCTAACTCAAAAATCAAAATTTTTTATTTTTGATTTGTGATCAATGAAATAGTATAATGAAACTTTTATCAATATGCTTATTACAACTTTCTATTTAGAATGACTCCAAACACGATATAATTTGGAATATATTTGTTTACTTAATAAATGATAATTTTTCTTTGTATTATAATGTATAAACATAGTGCATTTTTAAAAGTAAACAAATATAAATTAGGCAGATTGTACATATTTCCTTTCGTAAGATTTATGATTGGACTAGACCACGTGTAGCCGAAGAAAATGTTTACGAGAATAGGTAATTCACTCGATGGACGATGGCTGGTTACTCGAAGTCATGCAAATATCGAGTATCATTCAGTTTACATCAAATTTAAATTCAATACAAGTTTAGATCATTGTTGTTAATAGATCTGGCCACCAAATGGGAAAAACAAAACTCCCTTCTGATGTGTATAAGAAAACGTGAAGTTCGAATGCCAAAAACGGTTGCCTAGCTTTCATCATCCTCGGCTGTCAGGAGAGAAAACGCAAACAGATGTACATACTATAAATCGGGCCCTCTTCCTTTCAAGTATCGATCCCAAATGGATTAACGAGTCGAACGAAAAATTATGGTGGAAAAAGATAATACTTTGCTATGTTTATTTTCATTCCCGTCACATCCGGATCCTTATATATTTTAACGGTATTGTGTCGGTATTATATTTGAGCCGTAATAATCTTTATATTGACGAATGTCTCAAGGATTACTGATGCGTAACAAGAAGTACTTACATAAAAAAAGCTGGACCTGGTATAGGAAATTTTACATTATAAGGACCTGGTGAAAAGGAACATTTTCTCTGTTTAGTTCTGGATTTTAGTGTAAAAGATGGACCTTTTGGAGATGGCAATAGATATTTTGGACCAGGCGTACAAGAAGTATCTGCGAAAAAGAGAAAATAAGAATATTATATAATCAATTGATTTGATATTTTGTATTCGAGTCAAATGTCAATAATGTAATAAATGAATATGTAATGTAATGTAATTACGTAGTTAATAAGATAACGGAAATAATAAAATAGTATAACATTTTTAAGATATTGAGGTTGTTTTTATAATAGAAATGTTATAATCAATCCATTAGATATAAGATACTGACTGGAATTAAATACGTATATGTATAATGAACGTGTAATTCACGAAATGATTCGTGCGTAATTCAAAGAATATAAGAATAAGTAGAATACCGAAAGTCTTTCCAACTAATCCAAATGAAAAACCACCGCGTATGGGCTTGTCTAATAAATATTTCGGTCCTGGTCCCTCACATATTCGTAAACTAGGATATTTGTTGCCAAATGTATATGCCGGATTTCGGTACCTCGAAAGGCAATGCTCTTGATAACCCACGAGAGTTTTTAGTGGATATTTTGGACCCGGACCTGAAATATAACATTTTTAAAACTAACTTTACATAAGATTAAATTTAATATACAATATTACATATGTATACATATAAACAATTTATATTTAATATTCGAGAAATGTTTATTCATCTGCGATGTATAATGTAATGACATTTAATTATTTACTTCTAAAACTGCATGTAAGACTCCCTATTTTTTTATGTGATTTAGTTTGTGTTTGTGTATCTGGTTGTGTGCCTGGTTTTGGTGGCATTTTTATACTTTATAATTTACATTTCCACAAAAATTTAAATTAGATAAAAATTTTGGGTGATATTATTTCAGTCTGTTCATTTTAAATATAAACAGTTGCTTAAGAGTTGTGTATGTGTGTTGTGATTAGATCGCAAATTTTTATGCTTTTATGAGAAATTTCAAGGCGCAAAAGTGCACAGAATGCACATAAAATGTAAAAATATGTAAAATATATAAAGTAGAATATGTACCACGGTCGTACGACTGTGGCATGTATGCATACTTACGTACTACGAACCAGGCGCAAAATCAGAGAGCTATAGGAGATTAAAACTTCTGAAATCATTCAAAATCGCCACGTTAGGTGCAAACAGAAGCAAGCATCAATGATTTCATAGAATTCGAATAGAATTGCACTTGATAAATATAAACCTGAACTAAAGGGTAGAATAATAGTTTTGAAAAAGAAAGTTATTAATTCAATCTATTTTCATCAAAATTTGTACACTCTTCAAAAAGATTTGTTATAACAAATTTGTAAATATACATTTGTACATCAAATCTGACAAAGCTACTATCATATTGTATAAAGACTGCAAAATTATGTCTATTAATTCCTACCATTACTCATTTTTACAAAAATTAAATGATTATAAGATAAAATAGATATTGTGTTAATATAGTATAGTGCTTATAATCCAAATCTAGGATATCCTTATTTTAATAATGTAAGATATGATTTTTAATAAGTTGGAAGACTTTCTACATAACTCAACGAAACAATTTGAATTAGCACAATATAAACATTTATTTTAAATATATATATAAAACAAGTTACATTAACTTGACATCACAAGCATGTAAAGTGCTATATACAAAATTATGTTAATTTACAAAATTAACATATCAATCTTCATCCAAGCCTGTGATAGGTAAACCAGCACATTCGCTATGTCTTATACCAAAAGAATACATAGGAGGACGTCTTCCAGTATCATATTGAGGATAATATTGTGGTCCTGGACTTCTATCTATATCTGGTAATCCAGTCCTCCATTTTAAACTGTATGCTGGAGAACTACGTTTTGTAAGATTGGCATCTATATTGCTGTAAGCTGCCGGACCAGGACCAATATCTTCTTCTCTAAGTTTGTGAATCCCAGCACTGTAATAGTAAAATATATTAAAATATTTTATTATAATTATTTTTTGTACCTATAGACAATAGAGCATTGTTATTGTTATTGTTCTATACATTGTTATTGTTCTTTTGTTCACTAAAAGTCTCAAAACATTCACATATTATAAATATCAAAGCATTAAAAATACTTTCACTTATATCTCTGAAATTAAAGCAGCAGAAATTATATAACTTTATGTATATGTGCATATGAAGTTACCTCGGTTGTGAAATAAATAAATTATTAAATTATTAAGATGTAAATTTACTTTTTCAATTCTATAAATCTAAACATAATTATTTAGTCTCAACTTCAAATTTACTTACGTACATAGAAAAAGCACCTTGAGCTGCTTTGTCAGGAATTTTTGGTCCTATAGTAGTTGGTAAAATATATGCACTTGGACCAGGTCCACTGTCATCTAGTTTTGTTCTACTCCTAGATTTAATAGTATAAGCAGGGGCTCTAATATTGTGATTCATTGGGGGACATAACTCTGGATAATGTGCTCCTGGTCCTGGTCCAAAATCACTCACTACATTAAAAAAATGGTTTTTTATAACAGATATTTACTTAAAATACACCAAATTATTTTTTTAAACAATCATTCATCGTTAAAGCTTAAAATAAAATTGGAACTTCAAAGAAAAATTAAATAAAAAGTAACTAAAAATTACAGTGTACAAAATGTGTGGATGTAAAATGTAAAGAAGTCTGTCTAGCTTGAACTACTATATAATAAACTAAATGAATTGGTTTTCACTTTAATTCATGAACTATTATGATTCTTGAATTATTTTTACTTAAAATTTCATGAATGTAACTTTTTATTATTTAATGAAGTATATTATCAATTACTTATTAAATGTTATGATATAAATATAGCTACCTTTGAATGGCTCTCGACCAACTATTGTATATGCGGGAGGATTATCTACTCCATAAATCGTTAATTTTGAAACATTATATTGTGGTCCAGGTCCAATACTTGATACATGAAGTTTCGTTCGAGGTCTTATAGTATATGCTGGACCTCTTGGCCGAGATAGACAGTGACCCTCATATCCAACTAAGGTTTGCAGTTTATATATAGGAGCAGGACCTACACAAACACACATAAATATGTATTTTTATTATGTATAAAATTGGCAATGAGTAAATGTTTGAAAATTAATAAAGAATATTTTAAATATCTGTTATAATTTTTTGATAGTATGAATTATTTGGTAAATAAAATAATGGCTGTAATAATTATCATTATAATATTAATTTCATTAATAAGAAATAACTTTGTTTGTCAATATAACATAATAACATACATTAATAAACAAAGTAAAATGTGTTAAAATCATTAACATAAGTTATAGTTATAAATAAATATCTGTTACAAAAAATATGAGAATTAAAATTTTATTTTATTGACATAAATATTAATGAAATACTATATCTTTATATCAAAATTCTATAAAATCTTACCTTTTATCATACAACTCAACAACTTTGGTTTATTTTCCTTATCCTCCATCTTTTATAATAAAGAACGTACAAAAAAATAATTAAAAAATTACAACATAATACAATACGAAAATGAAAACTATTAATAATCTGAAATTTGAATAAAATTGACATAAGAACCACATTCAGAGCATTTATACTATTCAATTAAACATTATTATTATGAATTGTAATAAAGGAATTTCTTGCATATATATACTAAACTTTATAAAAACTAAATAATAAAGTAAATGCATATTAATAAACATTCTATATTTTTTATTTACTTATGCAATGATGAATCCCATAACATGCCTTCAAATAACTTATAAATTACTTGTTTTCTTATCAAGATATGTTGGTCATCTTGAGTGTTTTAAGAAGAATATTTAACATTTCTATCGAATTTGGATGAAACATCCAATTTTACATAAAATGTATTATACGAAATAAGGTCCAAAATCAATAGTTACTGAGATAGTCTCAAATTAATAATTGAAAGAAATTGCATCATTGGACAGTAAAAAATCCTCATTGACTTCGTGAATTTCCACCACCACCAATGTAATCTGAACATTTGATGTGGAATAATCAATCACCAGATCATGACTTTCATGAAATGGGAAAAGTAAATGATATATTTATATAATGATATCATAGTTTCAGTATTATATATTCTTTATTAATAGAAAACTAATAAATTGTTAACATAAGTTCCAGTAAATAAAATCTTTGTTACTTAAATTAGTATTGACGTAGTGCGCCACGTCTAATTGCTGGTTGTCGATTTGGTGGTGTTATTGATATATCTAAATAATCACCAATTGTAAATCTGGAATTATAAAAATAAGTAAAATTATTCTGTTTATTTTAAAATTAACTTTAATTATAAAAAAGCATACCGTGCTTGAGCAAGTGTTTTATTATCATCTGCACCCTTTTGTCCTGAACAAGTAACACCGATTTCTCTCATGCGATATCCAGAATTTCGTAATTCTGGTGTTACTAATGAAAAATCAAAGTATGTTCCTTTACTTCTAGCATCTGGATTTACTTCTTTAACTAAACCTGTAATCTCGCGTAAGGTTGCGTCCATCCTGGTTACATTGAATTAGTTTAAAAAGATTAGATTTGATATTTCTAACCTTGATATGTCTAATCTTTTTACAAGTTATAATATATGAATGTATGTGTAATTTTAAATATTTGTAATAAAAATATTTTACCATGTATATATTTGTAATTCATTTGAGGGAACATTTCCCCTGCTATATTCCATTATATTGTGATGTCTTCCTGTATTACAAAATACCCGGAGTAAAAGTGGACATGTCTGAAAGTTAAATATTATAAAAATTTATTAGGTAGAAAATAAATATTTGTTCCAAAAGATATTAAATATATGAGTAATTGTTTCATTTGGAAGAGTTAATTTTCAATCGATATTTCTTAAAAGTTTTTGATGTTACGTACTTTTTCTCTGTCTATGGGTTTTTCCGGTAATTGTTTTTCATCTACTACCATGGACTCTATTGCTGAGGTCATATTTATAATTATTATAAAAATTTAAGAATTGAAATATGATTAATGATAATTATGTTTATATTATCGTGAAGAAACAATAGACCGAAATTCAATACCACATCATCCTTTCTTGACGTATGTACACAAATGTTCTAACTACCGTTTACATGTATGTTACGCTATCGTGTGAAATTGGTTTCACATGTAGCGATATCGATATGCGAAATTTGAAATTGTTTGTTGTACATACATGGAAGGAAATATTGCTTTTTTAGAATGACTTGATCTAATCAATCAATTTACTATACAACTAACAATAGACTATCCATTTCCAGACCCGGTTAGATTATCTTTTCATTTCTTTAACTTGTATGGAATGACCATTTGAGGTCACATATGCACATATTTAATGTAATATCCGAGAAGAGAATTAGGAAAGCATATTTTTCATAAACCAGTCGTGAAAGGGGCTGCATTCAAAATCATTATGGTAAATTTATTTCCAGCTACAGAATAAGAGATATGTAAAGTAATTAAAAAATATCTTATCTCCATTCTGTGGATTATATATTATTAAAGGAAGCAAAAGGAAAAGAGAGTTATACAGAATGTTGCAAGGAAATGACAACAATAATAATAGTAATCATACTGTCAAATTGTTTAAAATGTCAAAATTTAATATCAGTTGCAAATATATAGCGCATTTTTATGATAATTATTATTGAATTCATTACTTCCTTTTTTTTTGATATACTAAAAACTACATTTTACTTTGCTATATAGACAAATCTGAATCAGTATCATTAACAATATCCAAGCCATTATCATCATCTTTAATCATTAATGATTTTAATTTTAATAACAAATTTTCTTTAGATAATATTTCTTTTTTGATACAATTATCTTTTGGTTCCTTTTCTTCATTTGTAGCTTCTTCCCTGTTTTCCTTGATACATTTATTTTTGTTACTTGTAGCTAAAACAAAGTATATGATTTGAAATTTAATTTTATACAGGTATACAATATTATATAAAATTAATTTTTATGTAATTATATATATAATAATATTAATTAAAATACCATTTTTATTCATGTAACGTATGAATGTTCTACGTTTTCTTTCAGATAATCCTTTGAGCAGATTCTGTAATTCCATATCTAATTTATTAGTTTCTTCTATACCAGGTTCTTCTTTAACAATGTTACTTTTATTGCCACATTTCGGACAAACTTTATATTGTATAGCACAAGGTATGCAGATGTTGTGGTAAGCATGTTTTATTGTTTTCTGTTCGCATTTGATACATTTTGCAGCTGCTTTTAATGGTTTATATTTTTTGTATTTAATTTTCCACTCAATTATCTGTTTACACCTTTCACATACATGTACAACTTGAATGCTATTAATATATTTTGTTTTATTTGATGTGTCATGTAAATCGTTTTTGAAAACAGTTTGATTCTGATACTTTTGTGGTCTTGATCGGTTAGCATTTCCTCTTTGTGTGCTCATATTTTTACTTATATATAAACAATTACAACATTTTTATACAATATAGCAATTTATTAAAATATTTTTCAGGTTCTTTGTAATACTATAATTCTTTTACAATATTAATTATAAAGAATGTAAATGTTTTAATTTTTGTATTGCTATTGCATTATAATGTCAATGTTTCAGTCATATAATTGGTATTAATTCAATTACAATTATTTATATATAAATTTCTATAATATAAAACTACTTTAAAATTTCTTTTAGGACTGAACTTCGTTTTAGTAAACGTAATATTATTAACTTTTTTATTTAGTCTTGTAGTCATTGACGTGTAGAATTCGAAAATGCAAGTTTTAAGATGCTGAATCCATTGGTTCCAAAGTTACGCGTACGTAAAGTCGAGCACGTTTAGCGTATTTGACAGGTTAATTTGACGCCATTGACTTCATGATTCATCCAATGAATGGAGATGCTGATTATAGACAGAAGCACGTGGGTAGTGGCCATTTTGTAGCGGGACTTTGAATCGTGAGTATTGGGTTAGATTTGTGTTATTGTTATACTTTACTCTTTGGCCATTGCGAAGATTGCGTCCACTAAGTTGAAATCCACACCTTTTAATTTAATATAACCATGCCAGATTGTTTACAATTACATATCTGCATGCTTTAAAATCGATTGTGTTGTCATCTAATAGTAACGTATAGAAATATTCATCTGTGGTGATTGTTGGTGATAGGGTGATTATAGTGGGTTACAATATGATAGTAGGTTAGTTCATTCTGTATTATCTTTCATTCCTTTCTAACCTAAAAGTAGCATGATGGGTTATACGAGATATACACACATACTATTATATCTAAAGCATTAACTTTCGATTTACAGTCTGCTATGTTATTTTATATACATATTTGTATACTACATAATTATTAAATATTTCATTTAAAAATATATTCAAAACATAAACTTTCACTTTTATTTGCAGTCTTATTTAAGATTTTATGACGTCTTACATCTTTATCTTTAGTTTTCATAAAAGATTATTTTATTAACGTCATGCAAATTAGAGTAGACTAAAAATATTAAATCATAGTTGATGATTTAATCTTTTATTGACATATTTATGATGTTATACTATTCATTATTTACAAGTTATAGATAATTTTGTAAATAAATCTGGAATAATTGTATTTTTTATACCATTGAATCTTTGCATAGAGTTTAATCAACATAGTTTATATGCACCTTGTTATTTATAAGCAATTTGGTCACAATTCTGTCAATATTGCAGTATGATATAGCGTATTTTTAAAGATGATACATTATATGTTTTTGATTCGTGTAATATTATCTAATTTTAAACAGTTATTTCAATTCTAATTACATAGGATATTCATAGTGATATTCACTGACATGGAACCAATAATACATAAAGTAATAATATTGTGAGTTTAATCGTAGTTCAATATAATATAACTTTATGTTGATATTATACTGATTTATTTAATTTTTGAGGTTGTATTTGTTATTTTAAACATATAAACGAACATACAAATCAATGATTAGTAATGTAACCTTTGAACAGTTGTGAAAACAGTGGAAATTGTGATAATAGTGCATTAGTGTATTTGATCTTGTGAACATGAATTCTGTGTTACTCATTAGTGGAAGTTATGGAGAAATTTATTTTTTCTACTAATAATGATTGATATGCAGTGAATAAAAATAAACATGATGCCTTCTATAAAAAATGAGGTAATTATGAAAATTTTATATTAAATATTGTCATGATACATAGTACCTTTCCCCATATAGCTTATTATTTTGTATGTTTGATGATTTATGATTAAAAGAAGTATAACTTTTAAACTTATATAAGTTTACACAAACATCAAATTCTACATAGTTAAACAAATAAATTATATGTATAGTATAATATGTATTATATAATATTAATTAAATATTAATTGAAAATAATATTTTATTAATATGTACCAATATTCAATATCTGCTATACTTTCATTTTCTTGAAAATGCAATTTTCGGATTAAAACTGAATAAATTAAAAAAGATTAGTTAAAATGTGTACTTTAATTAATACGAAAAGAATTTCTTATATATTGTTTGATCTATAATCAGCAAAGATGATATTAAGAATAAAAGGATTTATTTATGTAAAATCAAAAATATATACTATCCAAATCAAAATGTTATTGATTACAAATAGATTTAAAGATAACAATTTCAAATTTGATAGTAAAGATGTTAGTTACTTACAAAAAAATATGTATAACATATAAATTATTTATATGTGTGAAACAAAATTAAGAAATACTTTTTTGAGAGCTAGTGGTGGAAGAAATTTTAAAAGTATTGATTTCTTAAAAACGATTTTTACATATTTTTGTAGATGTAAGGAAAACATGTACCTATGATTTGTTGTTAAGAAGTTGTCATAAATTAAACATGCTGTCATGTCTTAAATAAAAGTTGTTAGGTTTGATAATATTTGTCCGAATATTGAAAAATTAATCTGCAATCCCATTTAAAAAAATTGGGGTAGCATTCTCTTTATTCTTAAGAAACTCACTCCCACAATATCTTACATATAACGTCTTACATCTTAAAATGTTAGGTTTTCTACACCATTTAATACTTGAAAATTTCAAGTTTACGTCTGTAATAGCTTCTAAAAAAACAGCTTGTTACACTTTATCTTCTCTACCCTGTATAATAATAAAGAATATATAATATCATGTTTAATTTATTTAATAGTATGTAATATTATGTATGTTCAATATTATGTAATATTGTTTGCTTATTTAATTAGAAAATTTTAATTTATTTAATTAATAATAACCATTAATCGACTTCGTCTGTTGTTGATAATTGACCATGAATCTGTTGTGTAAGATGGGTTCCACATCATCAAATATATTAATGTAATCTTATTATTTGATAAAATTGATATTATATTGTACAAAGGAAATATTATATTACAGGAAAAAGTTATTTTGGAAGCAGATACTGTTTTTTTGTTAATGAAAAAAGGATTTCCTATATCTCGAAATGTAAGAGCTCAATGGATGTTAGAACATTTAGATACTGTGATAAGTATCCAATGTTCAAGTTTTAAAACGAGGGAAGCAGCAGAACTAGAAATTGTATCAGTGTTACCGAAAAATAAATCTGGATCATGGTCCCCTGAAACATGTCATCAGTATCTTTACAAAGTAACTTCTACAACTTCAGTAATATTTCTGGCGCATAAGTACAGGATGGTTTTTAATTTGGACTTAAGTCCATCACTCGCAACTGTGGTAAGTATGTAGTTCTAAATTCAGTAAAATAATTAAGATAAAGAATCAAGTATTATATTTTTCTATATTTTTACTAACAATAAAAGATTATAACTTGGACGTGAATTTATGCAATTAAATTGGTGTTAAAGAGTAAATTGTAAGAGTAGAGTTTCTATACACATTTACAAACACACTAATTATTAAAGTTTCTTAATGATTTTATTTAGCGACATGGTTAGTCGGTTGTTAATAATATATTAACATCTTTACTCATCCCTTTTTTCTCTGCCACAACATCTTTCTTTTTAATATTAATAAGTAAATTTAATAACGTTACTCGTATATCTATATCGTATATTCGTAATATATACGATTCAGTTTAGAAACTAATTTAACATATAAAATTAATAATAGGAGCTCATATAGAGTGTTAATGAATGTGTGGTCACTTTTGAAGGATCAGGAACAAAGGAAAGTTGATATCCAAAAATATCGGTTGAAGATTATTTTTTCAAGTTGTAAATAATTCAATTTTCGCTAGGAATCCCTTCTCAAACACAACTCGTCTTACGCTGTTATACAAATTCTGCGAACTTATCACAGTGTCATTTACCTAGCAGAGAGTTGCGGAACGAAAAACTTCCAAAACTGTATATTCTTTTAGATATGCTATTGATTATATCGAAGTGTAAATGCAATGCAATATATAAAGATAGGTGTATTGTTATAAAAAAACATTTTATTGTGCAAAGTAATAAAATTTGATGTTTAATAAAGTTTACATACTGTGGGAAATTCGGTGTTGTACGATGATTGTTTAAAATAGGTAAATTGCTGCATTATAGTCGATCTCTCTACTCACTGATAGGGATTAGCTGTGTACATAGATCAATGATACTGTGGAGCATCTGACAAACATTTCTTTCTCGGCCACACTCAATATTTCTTATTTTGATCTTTACACGAATAAAACCTGGTTGACGCTATATATCATACGAATAGTACTTGAATAATATAAAATAATACTAAAAGTACTTAATACTAAACCTATCGACACTTTATGTATACCTACTCCTACCGTGTGCGGTCAAAATGACCGGTGATTAAAGAAGTAACAATTTTTATGATTTAACTTAGATAATTGTTAATTTATAACTAAATGTATATAAAATGATGAACTTTCATAAAATTTCGTCCAAATTTACTTTTGTTTAATTTCAATTATAGATTTAAATAGAATTACACTTTTATTTATATAGAGATATATCTTATTCAACTTTTGCAAATTGCAACTGCATTTTTTACAAATTATCTTATTATCAAATGTACATTTGCCGCATAAATATTTTCCGCATCTTAAACAAATTTTCATAATTTTGTAACCTTTACAATTTTTTACTTGACAAGTTTTTTGTAGCGATGAATCTGAAGTTGTTGATAGTTTTATTGCATGGTTTTTTTCTCGCGATTCTTTATATAAAAGTAATGTATGCACCAGGTTTATAGCAATTTTGTGAAATATCAATGTAAAATGTAAATGTAAATTGGCCCCATACTGTAGATACCATTGCAAATTTATTGGTTCGTAAACGTTGGCTTCTTTCGCTCTTCTTATCAAATCGTATAAACCTCATAATTTCAGCAAAGTCATTCCTGCCCATTATTTGTGAAAAAACTGCAGGTCTCCAAATTTTATTCCACAAATATGAGACATCTAAATTTTTTATATAGCAGAGCAATAAATGCATGTAGTTTTGTTGCATCTAGCTCCCTCTTAGTCCCAAATACTCTTAATTCTTCTTCTTCTGTACATTTTATTATATGATCCCTTATAAGGTGATCAATGATAAAATGCCGTCTTTACTTGTCCTTTCATAATATGCCGTTTAGCATATCCCTAAAAATATTATGGACTGATATCGTGCCAGGTTTGGGACTTGTATCTATTTCTCTCCAAACTGTCCTATCGGGTCCAGTTTTGATACGTTGGTTCTCTACATCAGTCTCACTCTTTGTTGTCAACGATAATTTCTTTCCTTTTTGCCCTGGACTTATTTATAATATTCAACTCTGATTCGGTTGTAAATAGCTTTTCATGTGTTTCCATGCCTTTTTCAGTTGCTGAAGTTTCTTGTTCATCGCACACTGAACAGTTTTCTATGTCCGTATTTTTTTTTTTTATAATTTTTTTAAATCTTGACATTTCTAGGGTAAATATTTATCACAGAATAATACCATGTACGGAATACAAAATTATTGTCAAATTTGATATGCTTTACGCAAAACGCTCTGCGATGCTTTCTGTCTGAGTTTTAGAGATAACAATTAGATGTCGACTAATTGACTAACAAACTGAGATGTATTCTAGTCGAAAGCACAATAGCAAATAAGAATATGGCCTGTGACGGCGATATTTATATAAAAATATTGATGAGTATTGGCCGTTCTCCACCAATGGTTACTCCAAGATGGAGTTGTGAAAGCTTTCCCAGTGTTTTATCGCAATGAGCAATAACTCTAAGAAACTTCTCGACTTTTAAAATGTTTGTAACAATGGACTGTGAAAAATGCTAAATTTTACGGCGGTTCCTTAGGATTATTATGGGCCTGAGTTGGTATGTCTTGATAGTTGGTGGCCATCTTGATCGAGGGATGGATCATGCTTTATGACAAGATTACGGGTGTAACAGCTGTTATTATTTGTTATTACTAATTTTGTTTGTCATTTGACCATGAGATAGTCTTTTAAGAATAACGAAAATATTTTGTCGGATGGTCAAAGTGACCGCTCACGGTAGGCAAGGCAGAGTACAAATTTTTCCCAGAAAATAAAGGAGCAAATTAAAAGTAAATACCGAAAAATATATTGTATGTATGTTTTAGGAAAAGTCAGAAATTATGAAGCGATATAATAAAGTTTAAATATGGTTAACTTTGTGTAGAAGTTCGAGAGCGGTCAATTTGACCGCCGCTGGTAGGTTTAGTGTTAAATATTTGCTACTTAACCGATGATCACAAGGGATAGTTGTAATTCCATTTTCAATTCGATCATATGCTGACACTATATATATCTAAAAAAAAAACGTATATGTATTATGACATGTAAAAATTCTTAAATTAAAAATATATTTATTAAAATATAATGTAAAAAGTCTTTTCTCGTATATTTATTGTTATTATAGGATATACAACATGGTGAAATAGTCATAGATGAAGTATATATGGCTACTAAACATTTCTTGGAAAGCATTATTAGACCTGTAAGTAATAATTTATTATTTCAAACTCATATAATATCGCGAAATATGTACTACTTATATCGTGCAGTGAATCCAAACTTTCGACCAACAATAGATATACCTTACGCGTAATAGTTATCAACCAAATTTAAAAAATGCGTATAAGAGTATACATGTTTAAAACAACTTATGGTCAAACCGAGTTTTGATCGAACCTCAAAATTTTTATATAGAATCTCTTTAAGAACAATTGTCATAATTTATATATTATGTATTTAATGTACTTTGTGTCATTTTTCCGTTGAAACTATCTCACAAAAGGTATACCTATAATTTAAAAAATTAAGAACAAATGAATGTTCTATATGAATATAAAATTATTGCACAAACGAGTTTAATATTGTTGTAGTTTACAATACCAGGAAGTAAAAGAATAATGCAACCAGAGATTTATGTAACCATAATAGCCCATACACCCTTTTTTACAAGCCCTGCGCAGCAAGTGTTAGTACAAGGTTGGCTTGTAACTTTGGATAACGTTAAACAGCTTACAAATTTCATAGAAAACCAACTTCATATATTAGAAGAGAAAGTGGCATGTGTTACCGCTGTAGCTAGTCAACAATTGGAAAATTTAAAAGCTGAAAACGAACGTTTAGTCGGAGGTCTTTTTGAAGAGAACAATACTTGTCTAAATAAAAATAATAATACTTGTGTTACTAATACTTCAATAATTTCCCCGGAATCAAGCTTTATCAATATGTTGAGATATGGAATGTTAGCACTTACTCTGCTACCGGAACATAGTTGTGCACGTAAGTATTATGAATATACATATGTATTAACACATATTGGAATAGGGAAAAAGAATATATGTGTAAACAGAAATATAAATATATATTTTATTTATTTTATTTATTAAACTTAGTTCCTGCCTTTCGGCTTTGGACGACTTCCGGTTTACATACTTTTTTACATTACTACTTAAGTCACCTTACAGTACACTTATGCTACCTTGTAATGCGACATATGTTATATTGCACTTTGTTATTTTGCCCTAACCCTTCTGCCTGTCGTTCTTTGGCCTTTGATTCTAGCTGTATTCTCTTCTCTTCTCCATTATCTCTTTCAGCACTGCTAGCCCCTCTCCTGTCTCCTTTAGTGTCTCTTCCAGTGCCTTTGATCCCCCTGTTACCTCAAATTCTTCCAGGATATGTCTCATATCTTCCTCTCCTTTATTGCACAGCCTGCACCTTTTTTCTTCCTCCTCTTTCCAGTGTTCCCTTGCCTTAGCTACGTTGCCGCATCTAAATCTGGCGAGCGTGCTTCTCTCCTTCCATTTCATCTTCCCTTCTAGGTACTTTGGAGTTTCTTCTCTTGCTATATTCCTGTAATACCTATTATACCTCGATTCTCTTATCCTTTTCTCTCTCTCCTTTGTTTCCTTCTTCCTTCTTCCTTCCACGATTTGGTCTGCTGTTAGCCGTTCTTGTCCGTTTTCTGCTTCCACCTGTGCCCTTCCCTCTCTTGCTTCCTCTAACCTCTTCTTTCTTTCTCTTGCTCTTTTCCCCTCTTGGCCTTTGTCCCAATTTCTCTCTCTCTCTTTTATATATTCCTTTACTAGTTCCTTCTTCGATACTAGTGCTTTCTCCTCATACCTTGCAGCTCTTTTCAGTGCTTTTTCTCCTACTTCTGTTATCTTGCTCTCTTCTATTAAGTGTGGTTCGGCGTTGTTATGTCTAGGCCCAGGATCCACTTTGTGTATCTTCTTTTTACTTTGTCCAGTCTTTTCTCTTCGTTCTATCCCCATACTTTCGCACCAAATAGCGCCACACTCTCCGCCAGCGCTCTGAACATCTCCATCCTTCTCTTGAAATCCGACCTGAAGGCCCTTTCTCCTATGCTCCATGTCTTTTTCATCGCTACTGTTGCTCTCTTCTTTCTGCCTTGTGTGTGTTTTTCGTCCCCGCCATTTTTCTGCAGAATGTATCCCAAGTATCTTGTCTCCTCCACTTCTTCTATTTCTTGTCCGCCCCATCTCCACGTCCTTTGTCTCCTCCTGTTCTTTCTCCTTTCTTTGTTCTTTCTCCTTTCGAATGCTATTATTTTTGTCTTCTCTGTGTTCAGCTCTAGCTCTGCGTTCTTCAGAAATGCTTCGAATCTCTTCATCATTTCCTTTAGTTCCTCTTCCGTGTCCGCTATCAGAACGATGTCGTCTGCGTATGAGAGTGACCACGCTTTCCTATTTCTTACCACTATGCCTCCTGCTTGTCCTTTTCTTAACTCCTCTTCTAGCCCTGCCACATATACATTGAATAATGTCGGGTTCAACGGGCACCCTTGCCTCACTCCCTTCACTGTCCAGAACTCTCTTGTCTCTTGGTTTCCTATCCTCACGATGTTCCTTGTGTCTTCATATATTTCTTTTACTCTCCTGGTCAGCTTCTCATTGATCCCCATTTTCCTCATTCTTTCCACCAACTTTCCCCTGTCTACCCTGTCGAACGCCGCTTTCAGGTCCGCGAAGCACGCGAACAGCTTCCCTTTTCCTCTGCTTACTTGCTTGTCCAGTATGTGTTTCAGCACATACACCGCATCCATCGCTCCTCTTCCTCTCCTGAACCCGAACTGACTCTCTCCTAGTTTGTTTTCGGTCTCCGCGTTCAGCCTCTCGTCCAGAATCCCTGCGTAGAAATATAAATATATAAAAGAAATATGATTCTTGTATTTATAGAAATGTAGGATATTTTTTGAATTCTTATTTTGGTAAACGATACTACCATTGAATTTCATAATATTATGTACGTTGCTTTTGTCAATCAAATTACAGACTATATGACATACTACTATGTGCATTGTTTTTTTTAATGTTCTATAAAGAACAATAATAAAAATAAAAATATGAGGTAATTCATTTAAATCCATCCAGATGTATCCGCGTAAATTTTCCGAGTAATTTTCTGAATTGATCCAATTAATTCATAGATTGATCAGGGGTGGACGACGTAGTACAGTGATTTAGATAATATTGTAGAATATTTAAATAACTTGGAGAATATATTGCTCAAAATAGTTCATGATTTTTCAAATACGTTCTTATCCAAATATCTATTTGTCCACACATACGTAATTGTCCATCTGTTCGTTTGGCCCTCGATTCAAAAAGAGTAAGATTACGATATATCAATTGCTATTAAACTAGAAATTTTATACACAGAAAAGTTGTTTAACATATTTAAGTTCGTAACATTACAATATGTATATTTGTAGTTAATTCCCAATTAACACTAACGCTAACTTAGTATTTTTCATCTGATACAACAAAAATATTGCCCTGGGTCAGAAATAATAGCTATTTGCTATTGTTTTTGACAACAGTTACAAATAATTTTTTGGTGCAAAGATTCATTATGACTATTTTGTTAATTCTGAAGTATAAAATATTACTTTAAATATTGTGACACTGCTTCTGAATTCGTAATAATATCGTAATATAATAATAAAAAGATTTTTATTACTAAAATTAATTAGAATGGTACTGAATTTTTTAGATATGATAATTGTGTCGGATGGTATAGTAGGAAATACCGATGTTCATGTCTTAGATTCTGTTATACAACAGTTACGTGCAACAACAATTGCATGCAGTTTTCTACATGTTGGAAGTACATATCATCCACATTCTGCTGATGGTTTAGTCCCCTATCAAGATTTATTACATTTCATTGCAAGAGCTACATTGGGTACTTACATGTCTTTTATTCCATATCGTGTATGTAATATTTCATTACGTTATTTTTATATTTAAATATTAAAGATATTAAATATTGCATTATTATTAATCTCTTTCATAGAAGTAAAAATTACTAAATTTTCTTTACTTCTTATTCGAAATTGTTAATGGTATATTGTTATTATGTATTATATATTATCTATGTACTTGCAAATATTTCCTGATCTATCTTGATAAAAAGTAATGGTTTAACTTGACAATTTTATACATATTAATTTTCAACACATACAATATATCTTACTTCTTTACACCTACAATTCGAAACGTTCGTTCAGGTTCAGATGAAAAAATCTATATATCCTAGATTTTGTAGTTGAAATATTTGAATACATATCGGGACAATTTTACACAATGTGTGTATTTTAAATAAAAATGTGCTCTATTATTGAACTTGCGAGCTTTTGAAGAATATTTTGTTATAATTTTACAGATAACACATATGTATGTGTGCATATTTATATTTAATTTATAGTAATTAAGGACACATACGCATTTATATGTACATATAATATATAATACATATTTTATAAATTAATTAACTTTTACAGGTAGATTTAAACGAAACCGAAATGAATGTTTATCACAAAAACTTTTTATGTTGGCAATTATATCGTGAAGTATGTTGTAACATTGTACCAGATTATTCAAATTGGCATTCTAAGAATTTATTATTTTATGAAGAAAAATCGACACAACTTTTACAAAAGAAACAAATTGAAGATAAAGTGACATGTACATTAAGTAGTTTATTGTGTTGTCGTCTCCGCGAGGGATATTTAATAAAACGTGCCAATGTGAGAGACGAAGTACTTGAAATTTGCTTTGTATTATTGTGGAAGTCTAGTGTTTTATTAGAATATGTAGTAACATGTCCTTGGTTAACAAAATCATTATCTACATCTAATACAATACAGTACACAATTACTACAGAAGGTAAATTAAAATAAAATATATTAATATTATTTTAAGACTTCTTGATCGTTTTCAAATATTCTACAAAACCAACTAAAAGTAAGACATTCTTTGTGTTAAAAGCAAATTTATTACAGCTCCTTATGAATTTTTACACGATATCACTTGTTTATCGAAAAAGCCATTGAAATCGCAATATCGACAAAGTGTTGTCAATCGATTTTGGGCAACTTTAACATCTTTAACGGAAGGTGACAGTATGCTTGCACACTTTAGTTGGAGTCCTGATTTTGGTTGGACTTGGTATAGTGTACCAGATACAATCAGAAGCGGCATGCCAGTTTTTTATTTATCGGCCTATCCTTCACCTAGTACGGTGCAACTTAGGTATGTTTGTGAATTGAATTTTGTATCTATGACTTTTAAGCGTAATTTTATGAGTGATTAAATAAATAAATTTTAATAACTAAATAGATAAACACACGAATATTTGGCATTATTAAACTATAATACAATTTGAGTAAACGGAAGCTAAGTTCATTTAAGAAATTTATGCACGGAATATACTTATTTTTAGCGATGCTGCATGCCCACAATTCGGACAAATTTGGCAACCTGTAGTGTCTTTAAATCCTTTACAGTGGGCTCGTTGGATGCACACACAAAGAGTAACGTTAATTTTATCACACGATAGACCGTTGCCAAGGCATTTACATCAAGCAAATCAAAGTGGTCGTTTTCAATGTGTTCAAAGCCGTCAGGCAGCTGCTGTCCTTTATGCCATGTTAAAGAATTGGGCAACTTTCGTTCTCGTCGAAAATCATACATATGTACAATTTATTTATCGAGAAGCGGATAAACCCCCAGTTTCATTCTCGCTGATTCGTATTAATTGTAAAGCTCTCTGTGTCATTCTTAATATCGCATTCGCAGCTGGAACAGAAGGAGTTGTTCGACATAATGTTGTCGTCGATCTTTTAGATCGATTGTCTAAACTTACTTTACCAAATAGACCTACGGAGCAAAAAGAAATACCTTCTTGCACTATTGTCCATAAATCTTTAGAGAAGATATTAATTAGATACGAGAGAATGCCAACTGATTTGAGTTTAATTGTATTCCCCGATGCGGCTCAGACTATTTCAACGAGATTTACACCAATGTTAGGTGGAACTTTGACGACTAGTTTGTCTAGATACTTATACCATAATCGATGGCTTTGGCATGTAAAACGGCCATTCGTACAAACCATTCCTGGAATTGTATTACCACGATTGAATATAACTGCGATCGCAAGGATTCTTTCCACAATTACAAAGTAAGTACTTTATATTAATACTTCTTTTTGCTATTCTATATAACAACGTATGTTATTTTGTTTTAAAGAAGTTTTACATTAACGTTATTGTTTCATTGTCAATTACACCAGTAAAGAAATAATTTAGAATATTATATATTTTTATTCGTAGAATGCGTTTGGCTGAGGGTTTCAGTTTCACATATTCAGCGGCGGGTATCATAAACATGGTTCTTGAAGTACAAATGCAAGGAGTTGGTGAAAATGATACATCATACCCGTGTATTATTCAATATATTTTATTTCCACCACATATTATGTCAAACACAACATTAGAACGCGATAGTGCATCGGAAGAAGATACTGACGAAGGTAAAGATATTGATGTTTGTAGAAATAATTATTATATTACATTATATTATTTTATAATATAAAGAGAATACTTGTGAATAAGTAGTATATAAACAAAAAAGCAGTAACATTCCGTGTAAAACATTCTTTGTAAGATAGTTTTCTTCTACATTTACAAATACATTTTGTGCAAAAATAATCGATATACAGCAGATTGTTTCTCCATAAGCTTTTGAAATCTGTGCATTTTCGAAGCTTTATTATTTATCAGTATATCGATCACGAATGAAAATGCGTATATATAGTTATTAGATAAAAAATATTTCTTTGACAATAAATTTGTATACATTTTAGGTACTGCAGATGGCGAAATAAGTGTAGAAGATGCTGAGAGTTCTGGAGATTTTCAAATTATTTCTGAGATTTGGATTGAACCACAGTGTGGCTTTTCTCAATTACCTGTACAATCTACAGCAACATACATGCATCTTTTGCAATATCATGAGATTCCAGATGCAGTGAGTATATGTACTTTATTATGTATAATTAATCTAAGCACCTGACATCTTTGTCTCGAATAAGCCTAAAACTTTGGGCTGAGATCACCCGACTTTTTCAAACTTCGAATATTTACTGAAGTATGTATATGTTCTCGAATAGCTAAGCTAAGGTGAGTTTCTTTCTTATCTCTCTGTGTTTACAAATTGAAAAGTGGAGCTTACAGACGCATCGCTTTACGAACATACGAATATGATATAATCATGTTCGTACATAAACTTCACTCAACCTTTCTCTTTCTTCTACATGGGTGAAATCTTCATAGACAGTAGTGCCGGTTTCGTATCTGCTAAAATCTTTACTAATCCTGCCGGATTAGGTCTTTTATCCACTTGCGACTAGTAGCACGCAGCTACAAAATCCATTATCGTATATGGCAGAATATCCAATTGCGTTGCCGCGATTACGAGTTACGCGCGACTGCGAAGTCAAGGCTCACCGTGACAGATCAGTTGCATATGACTACAAAGTATATGGAATATATACGCGCTGTGCCCACGTGTATGACTTTCCGTCGCAACTGAACGTTGTTTTACTGCTAGAATGTGCGAAATTCTTCTGAGGACGTGTTAGTATATAACATTATTAACTTGTAATACTATATAATAATATATGATACTAGAATCTATAATATCTTTAACATAAATAATTAATACTATAATAATGAAAAATTGTATCGTAACACTACATATATTTATTTGTTAATATTTTAAACAAAAAATTTAATTATTTCATTTATTAAAATTTTATTTTCTATATTAATAGTTTTTTGACATAAATAGATTAATAACTTCTTATAAAGAATGATAGATTGATTAATATGTTAAAAAATGAATGGTTCCATTAACAAGAATAAAGTTGAATTTTGTTCGATTTCCGAACAATTCTCACAACTCATTCACGAAGGTTCAAAGTGATACGAGATTTACAACACGGTCAAAGACGATTGATTATTTTTGAGAGAAAGATTTAATCTTCTACTATCTAGGTAGCAACATTCAAACAACCGTGCAGTAATTTCCACAAACAACATGTATTTCCAAATTTTCTGTTTTCGTTTTTCCTTGCCTCAATAGCAAATACCGGGTCACAAATCTCATCACCGCGGAGCGAGTCCAGCTGCGTGCCAAACGTGGTGCAAGAATCCATTTGGATAATTGGATAATTGGATATGGATAATTGTATGGATAATTAAACATTTGGGTCATGATGCATTGTGATCTTTTCTCATATTTAATACTTTTCTATACTGCTATACGGTTTTGATCAACTTAATTAATTTGCGACAAATTTCATTTTGATACCTTCGATAATTTTAGAATGGTACCTTACTCAATTTACGCCTCGTTTACATATTTCTCAATAATGTATTTATAGATTGTCTATGAGTAATTTCGGCGTCGCGCGTGGCTCAGTCGCATTACTTGGCGAGTCAGGCGATTAGTCGCAAGTGAAAACGAGGTTTCAGGCCTGAAATATACCATTTCATAAAAAAATCTTAATAAATGTTTTCTCATTTAATACGGTCCTGAGTATGAGTAGGAATGAGGGTATGTTGAATGTAACAAATGAATTTGTACAATAAGCAATTGGAAGCGCTATAATCGAAAAAAAGTAGCTTCTTTTTTTACTTATCGGTTTATATCTTGGAACTGAGCGGATATGGAGAATAATGTTTCGTGTGAGAGTTGTAGATGATGAAACAACAAAATTAGATATGTTTAGTTAAGACGGCACTACTGGTTGAGCTGAAAATTGGCTTTAAAAATTAAAATATGCAACATTTTCAAACAACGATGTCTCTATGAAAAATTTGTTTTGTATTTTTAGTATTTATGCAGGGTATTCCGAAAATCGTGGTACAGGTCAAACAGTATTCTTCATGCAAAAGCAAGTTGGAAATGTAAAGTGATAATTTTTTATACTAGACTTTATTTTCTAAAAAATTGACTGTGTAGTTTCGTCAAGTATACTTGAGAGGCAATGACGATCATTTGAACAGGTTTCTTCGGAGTTAGATACTTTGTTTTATAGTACGAACCATAAGGGGGTAGTTTCCTGTGCAACACATATCGAAAATGTAAAATGACAATTTTTAATACAGGATTTTGTTTTCGATAAAATCAATTATGAAGTTCCGTCCACTTGACTCTCATTACATCTGAAGTGCACGGCTTCGTAGTCCATTTTCTTGAAAATGAAGTGAAGCAAAATTTTACACATCTGAATGCACGTATACAAATACTGTTCATCTTCACAAATATTTACATGTTTTTTTGACTATTCTTCTGTACATTAATATCAAATAACAGAACTAGTTATTCCAGTCAACGCTTATACCGCGAGTATACACATTCTCGTCCGATTACAAAAAATTTAAACAACACTGGGTACGGAGAATACTTATATGGGTGGTCACTTGGAAACTCCGTGTGATTGTTGGCTTTTTTATTTTTTGCCAACTTTTTTCACTTCTCTTAATAATCTGTGATCGTATACATCGAAGAAAAAAATATTTTTAGCTTTACAGCACTATTGCCATACATTGTATCATTCTCTCATACACGTACAAATAAATTAGCCTGTTTCAGAACTGGAAGAAATCACATTTCTTCATATATAGAAATTTTATGATAATAGACATCGCGCATTTGCATCAACTTTCAGTTTCAGTTCTCACAAGACAGTGTGCTTAATTCATTTCAAATTGTATCATAAACTTTAAACTTTTTTCTGCACCACCCGCAAATTTCAGCTTTTAATATTGAAGTGCCTTTGAGACATGAATTTAGAAGAAAAAAAACGATTGTATCTCGACTTCACATCAACGTAAGGCAAAATTTTTTCTAACTTCACGCAAATATAAGCATTTTTCAATACAAAAATGCCATTCTTGTTAAGTAATTGTAGCGGCACGCGAGTCAGGACAATTCAAATTCTGTTGTTGTTTTGCCTCGGAGTATCAAGACCATTAGGTTACAAGTAATGAAAGAACAAATGAACTCCGGGCAAAACAATGTCGCCGCTAGAAAGAACCGTCAAACGTAGACGAATTCAAATTTTCCGATTCTCCCCCGACCAGTATCAATAAACGGACGCCATCACGAGCGAGAGAGTTATCGAACAGTACCGAAGTGATCTACAGAGTTTCTCCGAGTATTTATCGGGTATTTATTCCGCAACTTATATTTGTACCAAAGACTCACAATTCGTCTGTAATTTATTTATTCATTTATTTATCCAAAAATATATTTGACTGACTGCAACAGCAATATTTCGCTCTCGTTATTTCGCTCAACCTTATAACGATTAATCCTCCACATAATTATTTCAAAAGTTATTCCATTTACAACTTATAAGGCAATTTCCGAAGAATCGAAGTGCCTATTTCTGTTTCAATTTTTATTAAATATTTAAATTTTTTATTAATATCTAAGTCATGGAGAAGTCATTACAACCGGAAGCAACGATGTTGCTTGCCTATGGCAGCCTACAGGAAGCGTTCAATGTTTTATTTGATAATTTGATAATACAAAAAGCTTTTAACCAACGAGGCAAAACTTGGTGGTACTTGTTTGGGAATACTAGAGTTACCTTATAATTTTCAACAGTACACATTTCTCACTGAGATTTCCTTATCTGAAAAACATCGCACATTTTAATTTTTTGCAGTTCAATCAATGGTGCCATCTTGACAAAACATACCTCATTTTGTACGATATTTAATCATTTATAACTTTCACACGAAATATTAGTCTCCATATTCGTTCAGTTCCGAGATATAAGCCGATGAATCAAAAAAGAGGTGAATTTTTTCAATTATGGCGCTCCCAATTGTTTATTGTGGAAAACCATCTGTTACATTCAACATACTAATTATAATTAAGACCGTGTTAAATGATAAAACATTCGTTAAGATCTTTTTTATAATTCATGTCTAATACAAACAATCAAACAATCCTGCGTTAGACCGGCCATCGACGATTCATTTTATTTTTAATGTAATGAGAATCATGAAATGACTCTGGGTTCGGCCCGGGTTGGTATATAGGAATTTTACTCTTTAAAACCATCATGTTGACCGTCCTCACCGCGTTTTAAAAACCGGCTCGAGGATGAACGTAACCGATAATCTTCCCGAGTCACGGCTTCTCAGCCCGGAAGTGGGTTTTACGACCTCTTAAAGGATATGTTGAACTCCGCGGCACCGCGAGAGCACACCACGATCATATAAACATATCTTGACTTGTCAACATCTTAATCAAACGGCAGAACAGACATTTTTCAAAAATGTTGATTGTGTCAAATATTTGATACAATAAGAAATCATAATACAGCCTTTGTTCTTCTTTTTTCATTGTAAACAATTCAGTTTTTCATTTTAAGCAATGCAAAAAGTAATACGTATTAGAATTATAGTTTGGAAAAATGTCGTTTGGGGCGAAAATGACCCCAATCTTTTCCACTTGTAAAGAGACCATGTTCATAACGTTATTTACTTAGTGATACGTTAAGAATGTTTGATTATCTTTCTATTTCGAAATGCTATCAGTGAAATAGATTGATCAGATCATTGGTTTGTACATGTAAATATGCTGATCATAATTTAATATAATTGTTGTACATATGTTATATTATTTTTCAGAATAAGTTTTTATTCATACTGTATTCATGGATACGTGAATAATATAAAATATTTATCATAGTATAAAATTGTTGTGTATAATCCACCTTAAAAAATATGTTTCTCAGAGAAATATGAACAAAATTTTATGTTTATTTGTCTGCAAATAACCTTGATGTTGTGCATTTTATTCTTGACTTTAGCTAATCCTGATTATGATAAGGTCCTTCGTTCAAAGATTAAATACGTATTGATAATTTTGCGTTGATTTTAGCACTTTTGGTTTCTTTTGTAGATTGCTGAGTCTTGTGTTCTATAATACATATTATAATAAATATTAATGCAAGTACTGTTAATTTAAAAACGAACAAGTTTTTTACACTTCTGATTTTTATACTAATCCATATTTTTAGAAACACAACTAAACAAATATAATCTGGATAGATATTTCTTTAATTCTCTTAACAATAATTATGATGTTTGTACTATATATCAGATTGTACATTTTCTGAATATATTAATGACTGTTACAATATCTGTTTGGAATTTATGATACTTCAAATATCCATTGGATTCTACTGCATTTAATTTTTAACTATCTGCTTTGAAAGTTTAAAGATTTTTGTGCGAGAAATTATCAAGCAATTTCGGTAGAAATATATTATAAATATAGTGTACGTACTTAAATTTTTCCGTAACAAGACAAAAAATATTATAATAATAAGTAAGTTAAATGACTTGTTACATTTATAGGGACTAGTACAATATAACTGTATATGCATCACTGATTATATAAGTAAATTTAGCGCCCTTTTTTAGAAAAACACGAACAAACTTAATTCAGTCTCATTTTTTCTTTTATGAAACACATTTGGTATTGAACGTGAATGGATTTGATTTATCTTTAATCTTATCTTTTCTTTGGTTATGATGTTAATACATAAAATGATATAGCCATAATGATGTTCTTCAAAAATATACAGGATAAGATTTGATTCTAACTGGTTGCCAATGATCACAATGTGATGTTATCTATTTTGTTTTCAATTTTATTCCTATTTAAGATAATAATACAGTTGCAACTTTCTGGATAAACAAAGAAACTCCAATTAACCTTTACAATTGAAGTTAATCATTTAGATATTAATCTTTTGACATAAAATTATTTTATATAATTCGTTGATGAAGATATATCTTTTATATATAACGTTTAAAGTATTTTTCGCTAATGTCAAACGAAACTAATAAGCAAATTTAATCGTATTACATCTTGTTATAAAATTGTATAATTCAGTTTCTTACCTTATCTGTAACAAAAGTAGAAAGTAAGAACTTTCATCTATGTTTGTTATAAATATACTTTATATGTAAGATTAATGTTATCTAAGGTTTCATTGCTTGGAAGGTGATTACGAATCATCAAAAGACCAAACTTCAAGGTGCACTTGTCGACATGTTTTCGCTTACCATTCTTTTCTATTATTTCTATTACCTATCCTGTGTTTATTACTTTACCTTGTTCTGAGCCTGTATGTTCTGTACCGTCTATGAAACCTTCAATTTAACGTCTCTTTTCCGTATGCTGCTTACCATTCATCTTCTATTTATATATTCCCTAACAAAGCCCCATATTTATTGATATGTATCAACAATTTCATTGATTGTTCTACTCTACTCTTGTACGTTTCTTCTTTACTACTCTTTGTGGTGATGGCCATATCAGTGTTAAAATATATAAAACACAAGAATCAATGGTATATTTTGTTTTCGAAAATTTTTTCTTTTTGGAAAGTCTATAAATAGTCGCACGTAAACTGCTATCGTGTTTTAGTAAATTCTCTAAATATGATAAGCACAATCAATCAACTCAAGCTAACGCCAAAAGATCTAAGGTATTATGCTATTATTAGGTACAGTAATAGATCTCATCAGTATCTGTAAGCATCTTTAGCCTGAAATCAATTTATTTGTAACATTTGAAGATCATTTTCAAATATATTAAAAAGTTAAATATGATTTTTCTGCTACAGAGTTGCACCTTTTATGTTGCTTTCATGTTACAAAAAGTTACACGAATATGTACTTACCCTAAATTATATACATATATTATATCGTCACGATATTTCTGCTTATGACAAAGAAATCGTTTGGAAATTAAAAATTTCGTTAACCTTATTACAAATGCCGTATGATATCATATACTCAATAATAAGATAAACATTTTTTAAACATATATTGACAAATGACGAATAGGAAAAGATAGTATTATTTTTTAAGTCTCTTTTGATAAACTGTAACGGTCATATATTACGGCTATATTTCATTTTCCTGCAGGTTTTTTTTTTTTAAAATTCAGTCAAACCATCTTTAGTTCGGCTTTCCTATTTAACAATATTGAAAAATTGTTATGAAACAATTCGTTATTTAATTCCATAGTTGCCTTATCATTTTATTTTTATATGTTACTATCTTACTTTTTTTAATTATTTCAATTTAATAGACTGGAAAAATAATATAATAGTTCATACATTTCATATTTGAAACGAAATATTTATAATTAGAATTAGAATAGAATAATTTAATAATTTTCAAAATTATTTTTGTATAGGTTCATATTTATTAGATTTACTTTGTATATTTATATAAGTTTGTATAACTTGTATATTTATATTTAGTTTGTGTTATAGACCACTAAAGTAATATTTCCGGCAAAAATAAGGAGCAATATGTGTATAAAGTTGTCTATCACTACGTGTCGTTATCATTGTTGAGGTGGGGCTTCGATATCGATGAGGGTACTCAGAACAAGATTTTTCTATCAGTTAGCTCAGGTATATATAAAGCCCACCACGTAGTCGACTGTTTATTAGTGTTCTGATTACTTTTTTTACATAAGAGGTTTTCTAACGTTCGTATCGTACCGTATACGCACAAAGCATCTTTGCGGTTTTATGTGAGTGGAACGTTTAAAGAGTGATAAAGATCTTTAGTATTTGTCCACAAAATAATTGCGATTGGTTCTTCTGGCAACGTCCCAAGTGTCGGTGAAATTAATCAGTGACAATTTGAAATAATTCTTTGGTAGTAGTTCTTGACTTTAGTTTTGTTACATTTTGTTGCTGCGGGGGTCAGGTATGTTAAGAAAACGTTGATCCAATATCACAAAAATATCGAGAAGCTAAAAACTTATGAAACTGTATGTGTATATTTTATAATTGGCTAAAAATGTTGCAGATTCATAATATATGATTTCACATATCGATTAGAATTGGAATATGTTGATAAAATTGTGATCCTACATAAGTAAGTATTTTAATTTTCAAATTAATGCGATTGATTTAAAATTAATCGGAAGATAAATATATTAAAATTTAATTTGAATAAAACACAGTACAATTATGATACATATTTCGTAGCAGAAACAATGTAAGTTTATTTCATTAACAAATATATTAATAATTAATTGTTTTTAATTATCTAAAAATCTTTATCCTATCTTGCGTGCATTGTCTTATTTATAGTTCTATTTAACGTTTCACATATCACTGTATTAAAAAAATGTTTTTCTATCAAAATTCAAATACGCAATCGATATTTGGTGAATAAAAAGAGAAGTTTTTTTCCAGTAAAGATTACAAATTTACCGAAATCTCTTGAAAGATTTCTAGGTGAGCTGGCAAAAAGAAGTTGATTTCCTTCGTTGATACTGCATGGGCGTTGCATGGGCTGTGATCTGCATGACTTGCAGTTGGAAGTGAGGATCTAGGCAGTGAGCAGCAGCGCTCTGATAACTTGCCAGATCTAACTCTTCCAACTCAAGGTCTTGTTGATTATCATCTTTTCGTAAGAAATGGATATTTCTCGTCATATCAAAACCGATATCCAAATCGAAATTCAAACGAAACATCAGAATTGAATAATATATAGAAAAAAGGGGTTCATGGTTCAAGTGGAGAAGTGGTCTCTACGCTTTGAATTAAAGTGAGATTCAACTCCTCCAACTTAATCCTGATCCCTGAAGTTCCTCGTTTCTTTATTCTTTTCTTCTCTATCTCTAGAATATCTTTTCGCTACCGATGTATCAGTAATGTAAGTGAAGATAAGTGAAGCTTTCGTGGAATCATTCTATTGGCGCTTCTTAATACCTTGCTGGACAGGCATGTTGCAATAGCGATAAAATCTTTTAAAACGGTTCTTATCGTGAAAGCGTTTAACTGCGTATAATTGTTCGTGCGATTCAATTTAATCGATAATATTCTTTGTGCGTTATAAATATACTTTCTTTAAGAATATTGTTTTTCCAGTTTTATTTGTCGTGCTATTTTAAGCGGTCAAAATACTTGTATCCTTTTGTATTTTTCAAATAAATCAAATTTTTATAAACTGCATTATTTGAAAGTTGAAATAAATATTTCTTATGATATTCATTATTGTTCAAATATTTACGCATCTATCTATTATAATTATCCACCAAATTTTTATACCATTTTTTCTTGTGTGTTGAAAAATTTAAAGGTTTAAAATAAATTAATCATTTGAGACGAGCATACAGTAGGAATAAGGTAAGCTGGGAGTCATCTAAAGCCGCAAGGCAAGGATTATGTATAAATAAATGAATAAAAATAAATTAATCGTTTATATAAAAATTTAAATATACTTTAAACGTTAACAAATTCAAATTATTCATATCTTTTATGCGTAAAAGATTTAATCTTTTTTTATTAGTTACATATTAAAACTTTATAAGATCTGTTGTCTTATAATCCACAAATATTACCGATGTTTTAATACGTTGTCTGTGGAATATCAATATTGTATAAAATGAAAAATAATTTGACACCACATGTCTCACAATCTTTTGGCATATTACCTATTTTTACTTCCCTTCCATAACAAAATATATTAGATATGTCATACCTATCGTTGTGATCATCATACTATAGATAATTTATAATTTGTAATATGCATATATATAACTACATGTATATAGACATATGTGTATATAGATTGAAATCGGATACTTTGTGTATGATATTATGTACAAAGATTTAAATGATCCTTTTAGATATACTTAGTGTTATATAGCTTGAAACATATGTAATTCGAAAATAAAAAATAAAAAGTTTGTAGTATGAACACAAATACAAATAAGCATGCAAAGAAACAAGCACAAACAATTGTAGACCATAGTATTTATGAATATCGAAAATTTACTTTTAGAAAATTGCAAATGGACCATTTTGATCGGATCAGTGCATCTAGTGTTAATTTCACATATTATTTCGAAGCATATTGATGTAATACAAAAATATGACAATTCTAGAAATTTCGGAATTTTATGAAATTTACAGGTTGAAAATCGTTTTCCTTTTTTCTAATAATGTTATATTTCGTTATTAGATTGCTCGGATAGATGAGGAATGCATCAATGCATTATTAACTTTGGAGTACTTAAGCTTATTGAGTCAAGTAATACCGAACGAAAAAAATACAGAAATTATTTATGGACAAATCCCCCACCATGACGTCAAACTACCGAAAAAATATAACAAAAACATCAAAACTAATAGCTGCACCGTGGAAGAATCATGCGAAGGTCTACCAACTATCGATGAAAAGATATACATGATGCATTTTTCTTTCGACACATTGAATATCTTGCCAAAATGTCAACAAGCCGAGCTCTTATTTTCTATGTTTGCTGATGGTAAAAATTTTATTCGATCAGTTATTTAATATTCGTACTCCGTACAGTTATACAGATTTGCTCGATTTAAAACGTAATATAATTGAAGTAAGAAATAAAACAAAGGAAGATAAAATAACAAATACTCATACACGAAAGCCTTTTCTTTTCACTTAAAATTTATTTCGGTTGCATTCTATTGCTTGATACATATTATATTCTTATTACTAAAATGAGATTATCAACAATGGTATACATATTAAATTATCACATTATTTCAAGGTACAATTGGCAACGATAAGGGACAAGGAAGTGCAAATAAAATATTAATGGATAATTTCTTAGAACATATGAAACAGTTACACAATAAAGAACTTTTATTAACTTCTGCTGAATCACAAAGATTCACAAAAATGCTTCTTGACAGGCGTCGAGTCGGTGGTCCACCTTTACCGTTTCTTTCTGAAAAAGGTATTATCTTTATTATCGAAATTATACAAACTTTTTTCTAGCAACTTTCATATATTATGGATACGTATCTTTTGATTTTAAAACTATTTCTAGAGAGGCTCTCTTCCAACGTTGAGTTCAATTCTTATCCGCGTTGGAAATGTTTTATCAAAGGAATTAGTACAACTCATGTAATTATCACAATATTACCTGCATCAGAAAAAGACGTTGTACGCTTATTTACGTCTCCTTCGTATACAGAAGAGCAATCAGCAAGCAACAACTCCGAAAGGAATGGCGAATCTACCATATTCAATATGGATTTGAATGAAGACGATACGTACTCAAAAACTACCGGGATGGATATTAACGTAACCGATATTCCATCATTAGAAAATAACGAGTCGATATTATATGGTCAATGTATCGAGGACAGTATAATAAACACAGATACGCAGAAAAGATTTCACGATTGCGAAGAATCTCTCGTTATTCCAGTTTATGTGTATGATTGTTCGCTGGCTTTGTTGATCGACACATTGGTCGATAAATTAAAAATTTCGCACAATAAGGATATTTATCAAGATCACACGTTCAGAGTTGGTCAGCAGGAATGTAAAGATTTTATCGAATTAAAATCTGATTATAATTCAAAACCTCCGACTCCGGAACCAAAAAGTGAGGACTCCGACAATACTGCAAGTGGTAAATAAAAATGCGAATAACGTTGATTTTTGTATAGTTTCCTGAACAGTATACTCTTACAGTAATGTTTATTTAACGCCTGACTTCTTGATTAATAATCTCTTGATTCCATTAATCAACCGATAGTAGTTCGATGTTAATATTTGGATAATTAGAGTTTAATTGATATTTAAATAGTTAAGTTGTGACATTAATGTTTTGAAGACTGATATAAAATAATGATAATTTTCTATACAACAGATCAACGAAGTCTTGTGGAGCATTGCAAGGTATTAAGTTTGGCTCACTGTCATTGCTATGTAGTTGCAGTTTATAAATCGTTGGTATTGCAACAACCTCTTACTTACAATGATATGGAAGCTGCAGTAGAACAATGCGAAGAAACTCTAATTGAAATTAATATAACAAATTATTTGCGTTCTGTATGCAGACATTTGAGCAAATTATCGGATAAAAATTTATTGGGCGAACTAAATCCTTCTACGTGTAACGATGTTGAGCCATTGCATAATTTAATTAAAGAAAAATTTGAAAGAATAATTACAGTTGCCTTTAGGCCTGTACCTGCACACCCTGAATTTTATTATTGTTCACCCTCTTGGTCAGAACATGAAACGGTTTGTTGCTAAAATAATGTAATAGTAATTAATAAATAAGATTAATTAATCAAGTAATTAATCTTAATATTTAATAGGATCTTATAGAATGTCAAAAATCAGACAATGACGATGAGATAGAGAATCTTATGTTCCATTCGATAAATATTGATGGTACATCACGCAATCTCAATGGAAAAGGTAAATACGAAATAATTTTTAAAACAAACTTCCGACTTGAAAGGAATGAATAGGAAAGGATAATTCTTTCGTTTTCGGTTTTGATTATCAGAAAATTACTTTGACCGATATAAAATAAAAATATTACAACTGATATTTAATTATTTAAAATAAACAAGCATAATAATATTTCGAATTAAATAATCTTTAATATTACGTAGAAATGTATATATTTTTAATGCATATATAAGAGTATTCTTAATATAATTTTAACATGTCTAATAAATAGGTAATAGATAAAAAATAAATATTTGATTTTTAATTGTACAATCAGGGAATGTAACGTGGCCAGGCGCAAATGTCAACAAAGTTCCGAAAATTTCACGGCATGGTTCTATAGAATCTGTCAACAGCGATTTCCAGCGAAAAAGCATTTTCGGAAGAGAGCAACCGCTATTCTTACAGTTAAGTTGTTCTATTCGATTCCAATCTAGATCTGGTCTTAGTAGCATCCCTGTAAAATCTCTGCCAACATGTTTCATGGAAATTTTGCAAAAGATGGAAGACTATAAAGATAGAAATATAGCTGGCTTAAGCTTAGCTGATTTAAAAATCACTTTGGACATCATTTGTTTGAATCTCCCAAAAGAAGTATTGGAAGTAAGCTTAGAACGGTATTCTGGTTTAAGAGCAACATCTTTTTGTAGTGGTTCGCCTATAGGCAGTTTGCGAACGGAAAGTGGAAGCAGCTTAGAAAATAATGCTAAAAACGAATTCTTTCAAGAAAAAATGTCTCACTTACCTTTAAGCCAACACAATGCTATAAGCAATTTAAAAGATGAAATTGAGTGGCTGTTACAAGATGAAACCGCAACCGCGTTCCTAGATCAACCCGTTATAAACGAGAACGTTTTAAATTTCGTAGCGAATCACGTTTCGGAATCAACGGATAGATTTAGCTGCAAAGTGGAAAAAGTTCCTTTATATTTTGTATTCCCCTCGGATGATAGCAAACCAAAATTTATAAGTGAGTTAAAGAAACTTCAAATTGATAAATATTGTATTCGTCAAGAAGGAAACTTGTTTTATTTTGTGAAAAATATGGAAAAAGTGAGCGATATTGTACCAGAACAGTCTAAGAAAGAGAGAAAGGAATCAAAAACAAAAGATAGTATGTATTTTTTTCAAAAACATTTTATAACACTAAATATGTATAATATTTACTGTAGAATGTTTTTTAATAGTACATAGAATATGAAACTTGATTAAAACGCATAACACGAAAAGTCTGTTAGAAAACTTATCAATTTTAATATTCCAGATAATGCTCTAAAAAATCTGGAACAAGAAAATCCGCAAGAGCTACAACAAGAAAACAACAGCTGTCGTACAGAAAATAAGCCTAATACAAATTTTAAATCTGAGGAATCTTATTCTGACGGTATTAATTTAATATATGAAGACCAAAATATTGAGGACAGATTTAAAGAAAGTAATACGTCGGAAAACAGATTTCAATGGTTAATAGATCTGGATAATCGTAAAAGTTCCTTACCCAATTTTTGGTTAATTTTAAACGTTGAAAATGATTATGTCAGTGTCTACTTTCATTGTAGGTAAGTAATAATATTCTTAAAGCAAAACATAAAATAATTTCATTTCATTATATTTTAAAATGAACTGCTTGCTTATGTACATACATAAATTTTATAATACAAATTTAAATAGACAATTTTTTAACAAGTATTTGGTAATAAAAATTCGATCCTTTGCCTCTAATTTTAGATATGTTTTTATATATACGTATCAACTGAAAATTCTTTCTAAAAATCGATGAAATTCAAAATTGGTTGATATGTTTAGTTGCTCAAAATTTTGTAAACTACTACAATCAATTTTTTTTTTAATTTTTAAACTAACTACAATTTATTATCCTTTTTATTTATGTATATTTAACATTCATGAAACGTAAAGATCAAAAATATCTTAGAAATGGACCATAATAAAAATTGTTATCATCAATAGGTTTTTAGAGATTATATCGCCCGAAGTAAATAGTTATTGGCATACTCAAGAAATGTTGGTCTCTCAAATAAAGAGTACTTGTCGTCGAGTAAATCAATATTTACTTCTGCAAAATCTTCACAAAACAAGTAAATGTTCGGAACTTTTAGAAACAGAATCAAGCGAAGATTATAACTGGAAATCAGAGATGACGAGTGAATTTAGTAATGCTGTACAAAATAGAGATTTAATACAAAATTTCACCCCAGGAATGTTTCGATGTCGTGTTGTTTGGAAATTTACCTTTCGACTGCATCCTCGATTAAAAACTGGTCCAGGGAGATCAGGACTTTCTCGAGGTATAAAAGTTCTACACGGTGTGCTTAATAGATTGGCTGTTAGTAACCGGAGTAATATGTTTGTATACCAAGAAAATAATAAAAACGTGTTTTACTTAAGATTACACGAACAAATTAGCGATGGAAAAACTTTACAAAACAAATTATCGGAAAGCGATGAACAACTTGTCGTTTCTCGGAGCAATAGTGTAGTCTCCCTATCACAAGTTAAGCTGAATGATAATGCTACGGCAAATGATACAAGACCTAGAGTTCGATCTTTTAGCGAAAAAGAATCAAACGTTTTAAATAAAACTGAAGATTCGATCATCTTAATGGTACATGGAATTTCCGACGCGGGACCGGAAGTTAAACGCGATTTGGTACAAGTTTTACAAAATCGCTTAGATGATGCGGTTCTGGAAGTTCTTTCTGTTATGTTAGCAAGAAATCCTATGTGTAAATTGACACCTGCGGACGTTCATTTTATTCAACCGCCAAAATCGCCAGAATCTATCATACGTTTAAATGTACAGAAGCATTGCGTATTATACATAACTGCTTTAGAATTTTATTTGCGTCAAAATATACTTCAATTTTTGTATATACCAAAATATACTGATAACAGACCAGAATATCATTTTCAAGATTACTCACAACTCGAAGGATCTATCAAAAGAGTTTCTGAATCAGACATCTTTCTGTGTAATCAAAGTCACTCCAGTGGGAGTGTAGGAATCGCTTGTATAGCTTTGGCAATTACAGGAGAACACGGTGAACCTATAAAATTATTAGAAAATAAATTCCCAGTAGATAGTTTCCCTGAAACGATAAACGTAGAAGATTTTAAAAATATCGTATCAACGTCAATTTATGATCAAAGTTCCGCGGAATCACCGCCTTTGATCGAATTTAAAATTTGGAAACAAGGCAGAGTTAATCTTGACTCTTTATTACAAAAGCTATGTTCCGCAGTTAAACATGCAATTTGGGACTTAGTTACAGAATATAAATTTTTGTTAACTCCTCTGACAGAACCACTTACAAAAGATGCTCAAGAGATATCTATTGAAAATAAAGAAAATCAAACTTCGGTAAAAATTGATGCTTTGCCAAAAATAATGCATGATTTAACAATTGATAGATTCGAGTCGGGTGAAGAGGGAAAACTACACGGTATCTACTGTGTAACGTTATCGCAATGGTTTCGATTTGCTTTAGAAATTGGAGTTCCATCGGTAAAAAGGCATGAAGTAATTCTTAATCACAGACATCCTATATCTACGATTATTACAGAGTTAGAAGCTATTATACAAGGTCAAGCACCGGATACATCCAGCAGATCTTTTGTCTTAAAAGACAGACAACCCTTCATCGAAAAATATATTTCAAATGGGGAATTATTAACTAAACTAAAAAATAATAACTATTCTGTGTTAGAAAATGAAGGGAAGTTAGATTTGCCCGTTTACATACCATGTGACTTTAGTAAGGATGTACAAGGTACCTACACTAAATGTATTTTAATAGCTAGAAACTTTCATCAATGGAAAGCTTCGTTCAGCAAAACAGTACAGCCAGAATTACTTATCCCAAAAGGTAATTATATTTTTCTATAGCCATAAGATAGGGGTCTCTTTTTGACTACTATCCATTAAAACTGCTAGTACAAGGAATATTAAAAAGTTAACAAGTAAATATAGCAATTGTTTATTACAGATCAAAAACTTTTGCAAAAGTTCAATCCACTGATATTAGAATCTAATTTCGTATCAAGACAACGAATATTACTTGCGGAAATTCGAAGTGATAATGTAAGTTAAAAGAGATATATGTAAATATTTATAAATAGGTGAAATTACTTTTCTTCGTACCATTAATTTCAAATTAAATTACAACCGTAGATAGCTCTTTATATGTATAATTGGTCAAAAGAGAAATCTGAAAAATTAATAAAGCAAACTACAAATTTGGGCACATGGCTATCATCAAGATCAAACTTTTTTACAAACGTAATAATGCAAAAATTAGGTATATTCCACCATCGACCAAGTTTCTCGAGGGAACATGCAAATTCACAATATTTGCAAATTATGGACATGGAAAGTCTTACAAAGTTTTCTGCTGTGCCACACAACGATGGGAAAGAGTGGATAAGATTGAATAACAGAACGCAAAATATAAAACATAATCAATTTTCATGGAATGAAGTAATTGGTCAAACAATGCGTGATGTAAAACCTAATAATTACTTTCATAGTAATATAGATCCGACGATAAAAGCAGTTTGTGATTTACAAGACTTGCGATTACGCGAAAAAAAGGTGAAAGGTAAATGAAGAAATGAAATTAAATTTTATTCTATTTATTACATATGACTAATTTTTCTACTATTTAAATATTAATATATTACAATATTAATATTACGATATAATAAATGTTATACGGTAAAACAGCACGATTAAATTTTGGAACTAAATACTTATACAATTATTTTACAATTTTCAGAAGATTTGAACAAGCTATATGCAATGTGGCAAAATCGAAATGCTGCTCCGAATATCCCAATCTCAATCATCGCTTTAAATACTTTTAAACAATATTCTCGTTTAATACATTTTTGCCACACACCGTTATTATTTTTACCTTCATGGCGCTTACAGTCTGCGGCTACAAGAGATCACTCACTTTCGGCACAATCGTCTTTAAATGCAGGCATCAACGTATGTCAACAACTATCACAACAAATGCAAAAAGGTCAAGATGAACAAACAAACCTTATAAAATGGCATAAAGAATTGTGCAGTTTGATGTTGTCAGAATACAAGCAATATCTTCACTCATTAGGCTTTAGTTCAGTGCAAATAGAATCACCTGATAATAGGTAAAGCTCTGCTAAAATTTAAATAACTTAATGTTCAGTAAAGAAATCAAATTTTTCAAAAACAAAATAATGTCAGACTATCTGCCTTCAAAAATTTTAATATTTATATTATGTCAATGCTAATAGGAGTATAATTTAGAAACACTAGCTTAACTCTATAAATTTTCAATACGTCCCCTTCACTTCTGTGAAAATTATCTCACGGAATAATATTTATATAATTAACTAATATTACTTTCAGTTTTGAAGAACCAATTCAGCAACAATCTTATTATCTCAAGAAGTCAATGCTTGGAGGAGTATTACTATTTGAAATTCACTTATCACAGCCATTTTTCATTGTTAAATTACATATTATTGAATGCAGTCGACTTCAAACAAAAGCCAGTAGCGCTTTAGTGAATCAAGTAAGTTACCTGACTTTTTTATTTTCTCGTGTACTGTTTTTTGATATTAAACTAAATATGTTATAAAGTTTATTACAAACTTCAATTCCATGTGTATCTATAATTTAATTTCATAGAAAAATAAGATCTTAATTTTTTCTTATTTTTTTGATCTGCTATAATTATATACTTTTCATTTGTTCTTTTTTAATTAAAGAATATAACAAAATTTTAATTTGTTACAGTTTATGCTAAGTTTCGTGGATGCATGTGATAAAATTAAAATTAGTATGCATCTACATTCATTTACATATGATTTTCATTTACGTTCCATCCATTCGTACATAGCTGGGACTGGACCTTTGTTAGTACAGCAAGGTTATCACTTGATTCATTTTCTTGATGATTTTAACAAATATTATAGCAAAGCACCAAATTACGCGAGAAATCTTATATACAGTGGTAAGTGAAATAAAATAAAATATTTCTAGTTTTCTTTTAAAATATGTTGTATGGGATTTATTATCGCGAAAAGCACAAATAAACAAATAAGTAGTTACAATAAACGTATTTTTATATTTTAGATGTAGTGACTATTCGCAATTTAGCGATATCAGGTCGGACCTTATATTCTTACTTATTATCTCATGAGAAGACTTATAATATGCGTGTATTTATAATGAAAAGTGATCTTCAACATTCTGAAGAAAGTGAATATGTTCTAGTAAGCTTAAAAAGTACTCCTTTAATTAGTTACTGCGACGCACAAGATACTAAATACACCGATGATTTCGATGTTGTTCTGATTGTATCACATTTAGGACAGCCTCCACAAGTAGAAAAAACCGAAATTACTTTAAAATACTATTTAATGTTAACAAGCAAACGAGAATTATATCCAAAGAGAGAAGTAGAAAACAATAAACTTGGGAAGTTTCGTACGGTGTACAGTGTCGAAAAATCTCCAAGTACTTATACCGAGGCTGATGTGGATACTATAAACGAATCTTCTTCGGATCTTCAAGAATGTAAACAAGATTCAAATGATAAAAAGGGTGATACTAAATTATACAGTGCTACTCTTGGTACCAATTGTAATAATACGGGAGCACCAACACCTCCACCAGTACCTAATTCTCCGTTAACTCAAAATGTAAATCCTCCAAGTGTTTCGGTGAATTCTTCATCGCCACACTTAATTCAAATACGACAAGAATCGATTAATTATTTAGGTTATTATTCCTCGCACGAGCAACTCATGCAACAAACAATAATGTCTCAAGCAAATGCGGCTCGCATGCATATAATGAATATGATAAAACGCGGAGCATTACAATGTAGAACGCATCTTTTATGGAATAAATTATTAGAAAGTAAATCTGTAATGAATTATAACGAATTCTCCGAACTTTGTTCTTTGGCTCACGTTGAACCTTTATTAAACTTGGATCCAAGATTGAGGCCATTTATTAATCAACCAATTTCTTGGTATCAAACTTTATCAAAGGTTTTGCAAAATAAATATCAAGAACATCATAAACAATTCAATACACCAGATGGAAATATTACTCATCTACTGATATTACATCCAAATTTCTTTCAAGTTTTCATGATGTTAACTATAGATTTACATGCCTCACGAGGGGTTCGTATCATTTTTTATGTTTTTATTGCTTATATACTTTATATACACATGCAACATGTAATTAAACTTATGATAATTTTTCATTTTTTTTCAGGATTTGTATGCAGTTTATTGTAAATCAGAAGAAATGATTAATGCTCCATGTTGTGTAGAAGACACATATAATTTAATAGAAGGTTTTGTAAATGCTTGCTGTTTTAATTTGTGGATGGGTCTCTACAGTCAATAGTAAATGACATTCCAAAGAAAAAATTTTCCAAATACTTGTACTTATTATTTATACGTCGTATAACTAACATACATGTGACACTAATTTTATTGTTTAAAAGAATTATGTATATTTTCTTTGTTTGTTATCTTATACTATATTTCATTGCTGTAATTTGTACAAAAAATATATTTTTCTAATTTCCAAAAATTTAAATTTATAATCTATTGTTTGTTTGTTCGAAAAATAATTTTCAGTTTAATATCTATATTATTTCATCAATTTTATATTATTAACAACACCACCATTTACTATCAATCGCGAGTATTATATTATCACAGACGAAGTATAAAATCCGCATATCTATAAATACATACATATGTACATAAACAATCGCACCCTAGGAATGACCAACGTTTCGTTTGCATTTCTATATGAATAAATACAATGCATAAATTTAAACTAGTCTTATCGAAGCAAGTAAACCAGAAAAATTATGATTTTATTTTTTCACTGAAATCGCATTTTTCCTAGAATCCTGAAGGACTAGATAAATTTCGCGATTATATTTAAATTCAATGTTAAAATCTATAGTAAATGATATATAATAAGCCGTGATAAAAATTCAATAATACATAGTAATGGATAAATCGCAATTTTGTCAAAAAATTTCAAATCTAATATAGATTTTCAAAGTCAAAACTTGTTTGTGATAGTTCTTCTGCATTTTTTCCTTATTCTACAATATCTTAGCTTTAACTTTAAACAAGATTCATTGTTCTATCTTATTTTTATCAAAAGTTCTGCGATTTTTACACAAAGATGAGCATTCTATCTCATTGGGTTTCGGGAAGACTGCGATCGCACATGACGCGGCACTGTGGTGTAGTTACATATCGTCGTGTGACTGAAGTGCATTTTAGTAGTAGATGTATTCTCCCAGAGGACGAGTCAAGGATGAGGCGCAGAGAGAGGACTGTGAGAAGTTTGCAAAGCTCTCCCTAACGTGCTGATGTAGACCACCACTTAACCGGCCAGGATTCGGCAATAATTGAAGAAAGATGTCTATGAAGATTTCCTCCACGTAAAAAAAGGGTGCCTAAAATTATTATAGTAATGTTTCGAACATTTATGAACTCTATTTGAACCGCGTCGGATTTCTTTTGAGCCATGTTTCAGGTCCAATTGTAATAACAGTAAGTCCGTCACATCGACTATAATCAATCACTGTTATCACTCTTTGATAACATCTACATAAAAAAGGCAATAAATATTCCACAAAATATACAAAATGTCTAATACATTTTTGAGCATTTGTTCTATCTCTTATATGCTATGCTATGCGTTATTACGGCTATGATAGACTCTAGATTACAGTTTTTTTTATTTAATTCTTTACATTCACAATTTGTCCAGTTTGACATTTGGTAGAATTTTTTAGCTGTTTGATTATCATGTGGGTGGCTACCCCCAGCAGGATACCCATCTGTTAGATTATCATGTTGGTGGCTACCCCCAGTGGGACACCATGTTCGTGTTTGCTAGGTTGTGTCCTTTGTGAGGTCTGCTGGGTGTTTCCTTTTCAGTCTTCTATCCATGTTTGAGGTGTTGATCGTTTCCACAGCTAGCCGGTTTGGGTGTGTTCCTATTCTTTCTTTATATTTTCCTGCGTATCTGCTAATTTTCTCTTTGACCGTTGGTATTCCCAAATCCTTCCGTATATCCTCGTTTCTAAGGTACCATGAGGCGTTTACTATTGTTCTAAGAATTTTAGCTTGTACTGTCTCTATTTTGTTTATATGGCTCATTACTGCTGTCCCCCATAGTGGTATTCCGTCCAGATTGGTTTTATGATCGTTTTGTATATTTTTAATTTATTTTCTATACTTAATTTGGATTTTCGACTTGTTAGCTAATGCATTTGTCTCCTTGTTGTCTGTATTTTGTCTGTAATTGATTTAATATGCTGTTTCCATGTGAGTTGTGTTTCTAGGTGGAGTCCTAGGTATTTGACTTGCCTTATTTGCGGTATGTGCGTGCCGTTCAGTAGGATGTTTGATGGTGTATGTTTTCGCAGTATGAATGTAATATGGTTGCATTTATGAATGTAATGTGGTTGCATTTATCGGGGTTTGCTTTTATTTATTTATCTTGCAGCCACTTTTCTATTTTTGTGATATGTTCTTGTAGTAATTTGTCTGCTGTTTCTGCATTAGTGTCATGTGAGTTGTGTTTCTAGGTGGAGTCCTAGGTATTTGACTTGCCTTATTTGCGGTATGTGCGTGCCGTTCAGTAGGATGTTTGATGGTGTATGTTTTCGCAGTATGAATGTAATATGGTTGCATTTATCGGGGTTTGCTTTTATTTATTTATCTTGCAGCCACTTTTCTATTTTTGTGATATGTTCTTGTAGTAATTTGTCTGCTGTTTCTGCATTAGTGTGCCTGACTAGTACAGCCGTGTCGTCCGCAAATGTCAGTATTTTGCTATTGGTAGATGTTGGTATGTCGGCTGTGTATAATGTGTAATATTGGACCTAAGACGCTTCGTTGCGGTATCCCCCTTTTTTTGCGCGCGCGGGGAGGGGAAAATGCTATTACGCATACCCAGAGACCCGCGTCTCCGGATTATGTAGGACTCGGCAGGTGACATCGCCATACCCACTAAAAACTCCTCCTCATTCTCCCTCTGCTACGGTATTCGAGGCACCAACCCGGTACAGTCATTCGACATTACTTCGGGTTGGCATCTACACAACGTACCCAAACTTTTATCTTCTCTCCTCGACTCTGATCCTTCTCCTCCTTCCTTCCCTTCTTCTCCTGATCTCCATCTCCCTTTCCTTAAAAAGCCTGCATTTCATCGCCTTAGTGCAGAAATCATAAAATCGAATAGATTTTACCGCTCCTCCGCGGCCATTTTCTCAACGACCTGGTTCTCCAATTTAAAATCTTCACCGATCTCGATTTCTAACTCCGTTCTCTCCTCCGTCCATCTAGGGCACCAAAAGAGCACATGCTCGGCGTCATCCAGCACCGCACCACAATCCCAACAACTGGTGTGCGACTCTTTGCCGACGGTAACAATTAAAGATACCGTGTCCCGTAAGGATCTGCATCGTGTGGCAATTGATCTTCCTCTTTTTTTTGTAGAAGATCAGCGGATCTTCTACCAGTCTCCTAGTTCAATTGTAGGAGTTGTGGAATGCCCACTCTAATCTCCACCTGTCCTCTGCCTCCGTCTCCAAATCCTTCATTTCTTCTTGCCCAACATGTGCCATTTCTTCAGAGTTCTCGTTGATTCGCCTTCTTCACTCCATACTGCTTCCACCGTAACCATGCCTTAATGCAAATCGGCATGCTACCGGTAAGCACACATACAGCCCCATGTGACACCGTACTGTAGGCGGTAGACGTACGGATCAACGCCGCCCTTTGCGCCCTTCTCATAATCGTCCTATTTGTTTCTCTTCTCAAGTAGTTTGAGCGTGCAGGGCTCGGCTTTAAGGCCGACCGCGCCATTCCTCGAGTATAGAACTCATACTGGCTTCGCTAAATAGGTGTTCGTTAATTATCATCCACTTTCAAGCGTCCGCCGCCCGGGGGACGACACGCATAGGTGGTCGGCGCGCGACTTGGAAAAACCCTGCCCTCTCCTTTCGGGTCATTGGACAAGTTGAACCTGCCCTTTCGGGCGGCAGCTCTCTTAGCCGGCGCGGCGCGATGCACGCACCAACGGGGGCCAAGAGGAGGCGGAGCTGCCAGCGTGTAGCTCGGTCCCAGCAGGTTGGCTTTCCAGCCGATTATTCTCTGCACCGTCACAGTATTCATTTGCATGAGTTCCGCCTGCACCGACGGTCGCAGGGTTTCCTCCCCAGTTCTTACTTGTCGTTTTTCCTTTTCCGTGTTTTCTTTTCTATGTTTCTGGTTCTTTTATACTGCTTCTCCTATCTTGTGTCCGATGCTGTTGTTGTCCCAGGTTTTCTTCTTTTTGGTGTTTCTTCTTCCGCTCTTAGTTGTTGTCTTCTTCGTCATTGTTATTGTTGTTGTTGTTGTTGTTGCTGTCGTCGTCGTCACTGGACCCTATGTTGCCCGGTGTTGCGGGTTCTTCTTCTTCTTCCTCTTCTCCCCCTCTGTTCTGTTCGGGTGGTCGTCGTGCCAGCCGTGGACTTTGGTTGTGTTGATCTCCTCCCTCGGAAGGAAGGTCGTCCTTGTAGCGGAGTGCCCTCTATCTCTCGTTGGATTCTCTTTCTCTTCTGCTCCTTTACATGCAGGACACTCCTTGTGAACTGGCGGAAGTGTGGGTATATGTCCTTGGATACGAATTCCCACTTTTCCTCCGGCCAGTGCAAGTCCAGTTCTCCTATTGCGTTCCGCAGTCTCTGCCTATCTTCGTTGAAGATTGAACAATCCTCTAAGATGTGGTGAGGGGTTTCTATCTCTCCGCAGTCGCACGTGTCTATCTCGCTCAGTCGGAATGTCCTGAGTTTGCTGTTGAAATCCCCGTGACCACTGATGAACTGTGTCATGTAGAGGTCTGGTCTTACCCAGCGGTCCTCAAGTCTATCCTTGACACTGTCAAAGTACTCGTACGTTGTTCTGCCCTTCAGTGTGGTCTACCATCGTTCTTGTCATTTTCCAATGGCTTTCCTGACGATGGCTCTCTGTGGTTGGTTGCTTCGTCCAGTCCTCTTTTCATCTTTTGGGCTCTCGCCCTGATCTCAATTTGCAAGTCGATGGGTATTACACCTGCAATGACCTGTAGTGCCTCCGTTGACGTTGTCCTATAGACCTTCGTCACTTGGAGGAGTGCCATTCTCTGTGATCTTATCAGCATGCCTACCGTTTTCCCATTCAACAGGTCGCTCTAGCCGGCTGCGGCGTAAGTTGTTATCGGTTCGAACAACCCTTTGTACAGGATACTCATGGCCGCGTGTCCGAGTCCCCATTTCGTCTTGGCCACTCTTGCAAGGTTGTTGAATAATCTCTGGCACTTTTGCGTTGTTTCGTACACATGCCGATTGATTTT